AGTTATATTATTTCAAAGTTTGTGTGGATTCAGCTTAATTTTTGCTGTAAGTAAATGAAAAAAAGCCATCAAATTTTGATGAATTTAAAACATTTTTAATACAACCTGTTTAGGTAATCAAGTAATTAGCTAATTTATAATACAGCCATTTATTTGATATGGCTACCGGTGAAGAAATTTTATTAGCTAAAATTTATAAATAGAAGAGTAATTGAAAACTCCTTTTCCAAAACCGATAGTAAAACTATAAAAATATAAAATGATAAAAACATCAAGCTGTATGCTCACGCCGGCCTCGCGAGGACTAGGTAAATGATGTGCGTGCTCATACATATTCAGTACCATCGCACTCACTTACCTCCGTCCTCAAGCGCGACACGACGCCATCTTACCTTTTTATATTTATTTTCGAGTATTTCGCGTTCTTAAGACTGATTTGTATTATATTGTATTTTGTTGTATGTACTAGGGCTCCATTATTACAAAGAGTTTACATTTTATTGAAGAAAGATTTTTTGTTAAGTAATTATCGTGAGTCAACTGAGGAAAGCCCTGCTAGTTTCTAATAACAACGGGAGTCTAGTTCATGAGTAGCGTGCGCGTCGCAGCGACGACGTCGCGTAACCGCGCGTTAGTTAAAGAATTACTATAACTTAAGAATGGTTGAATCGATTTCACTGAAAATTAGTGAAGATAAACGAACACGAGGTAACTTAAGACCGCGGGTGTCAATTACATATCGCTTGTTAAACAGAAAAGAGACCTAACTCAAAAGATAAAGTATTTAATATAAGGTTCAATTTTGGAATATCCTCATTTTTGAGTTAGGCCTTTTTTCTATTTAACCCGCGATATAGTAAGTAAAATTTTGTCTCTTGGAAACCCCTCACTTGTTAAAGCATTTTCCATACATTATTACAGTTGGGGTTAAAGTTTTCATCATTTGCGAACAACTATTTAGTAGTTTAAACATTTATATATTATTTAGTGATTCAATACAACAAAAGCTCAATATTGGTCGGTCTGCCCAGTGTCCACACTGTGTCTTCTGCTGATCCCTGGTCTCAATCCTGCCAACGGAAATATGGCTCCGTAGGTGCTTATATTTCCATTTCTGCTCTTAATATCCTATATTCCACTTCATATGTATATAAGTAGGTAACACCCTCATACATAATACATTTTTATAGGACCCACGTTTATTTTACAGCAAATTCCATCACAAAGATAAAGAAGTATTGATTTCATATTATCCTGTTACAAAATAAGCTTTGTAGAATAAATCGTGCAAGGAAATAACAATTTGTTAAATGTAAGCGTCGACGGGAAATGTTGCGGAGTCATCTCAACGATTCATGTTTACTTCGCTTTGTATCGAGTATCGATTAACGCTTTACAATTTTATCGATTATCGTCAGTATTTAATGGTATATCATTGAAGTTTAGCCCTTATTTTGAATGCGATTAAGTATTGTATAAGTTTGCGCTTTATCATTTTTATGATTACAGTTCTAGCCTAGAATTAAGGAACACGAAGTTAGTTAGCTTATCTCTCGTACTAGGTATACAGAAAATCTGTGAAACTGGTAAGTGAGTAAATCTGATGCCTTGCTGGTTGTAGCCACAACAATAAAGATTTTCTATGGTCTTATTATCAGATGCGTTTCTCCACTCTAAGATTTCCTTTTGTGTTTTGTGTGAGTTTCGATTCCAACCTACAAATTCACACTATATGATACCCGGAACTACAAGTTGTGTATCACGCAAAGAACTGTTCCGTACGAGAATCAAATCCGCCACACACAGCAAATCGTTACCCACGCAATTGACCAATCGGTCAGTCGAATAAAAACAAAAAGTATAAGAGTGCACATGGCATGCCAACATAATAATTTTCATAAAGTTTCTAAATTCAATAGCAGCAAGCAAACTGCTGGCGAGGGAAACCTCAGCGGACGACTTGCAATTTGAATATCAAATAAATCTACTGCTGCTCCTTCGAAACTTTTCAGTTTGCACACCAGTTTTTACAACTGTATTCATTATAAGGTAGCAGTTTGTTTAATACTTACTGAGAAATATGATATTTATGTTCAAGATGTTGGATTCTTTTCTGTTTTTATACATATACTGGACATTTGAATAATTCATTATCACCATCATATAAGCCACTTGACTACCATTGCTAAAATAAATATAAAGTGTGGGAGAGCCATGCTTCGGCACGAATGGGTCGGCACAACCGGAGTGATACCACGGCCTTACATAAAACCGGCGTGAAACAACCACAGCGTTGTGTTTCGCCGTGTGAGTGAGGTTACCGGAAGCCAATCCTTCCCCTCCCCTAATGCCTCCCCAATCCCTAAATCTCCCAAATCCCAAATCCAAAACGGTCGGTAACGCAGCAACATTCTCCTGCTCTAGGCCGAGGTCGTGGTGCCTCATTGCGCTTACCCCGCAACCCCGGCTCTTCTCTTTAGTCTGACACTTTCTTTCGCCTCACCGTGGGCGAGAGAAGAAATTTGATGATTTTCCTCCTCAAAAAAAAGCATAATAGAGACGATATTGATTTCTTAATCTTAGCCATAAGACTTCCTTAACAAAGCCTGTTGGTATGATCCCCAGATTCAAAATGTGAACGCGACCAACGAATCACTGTTTATTAATTTATTCAATCTGACAAAATCTATTCATCTCTTTCTAACCCACAATTTTGCCTTCCTTGTTATTATTACACATAAACAATTTCAGCAATATCTCAGTTGTGGTTAATACGCTTACAACTCTACTCAAAGTAATCCGATTTGCGTGGTTTTAGTTTTTATTCTGTTATTTATTTATTTATTTATTGAGGGATAATAAACAACTACAACATAAATAACACAATATGGTTTACAGCACTTAAGATAGTAATGTTGCAGTCCACTGCATTATCCACAGATAAACATATTTAATGATCAGTGGTTACTACTAGACAAGCGTCACCAAAATTTACAAATAATTAGAAACAAATAAATAAGTTACAATAACGAAAATAGATTTCATGAAAGACAAATTCAATTTCTTAAATTATACAACAAAATTCATAATATAAAATTACTATTTAGCTAAAATTTCCATAACAAAAGATTTAAATCTATTCTTCGAGCATGCAATTATGTCAATATCGATGAAATTTGAGTTATAGGATTCCAACATTCTATGAATTGGGCAGCGTAGGCCAGCGTTTGTGCGAGTTTTATTTCATTAATATGTTCGCACTAGTAGAGTAAGTGTTAACTAAGGACGAGTAATTCAGTGTAAGTGTGTTTGTTTGTTATTTTGTTCATTAATTAATGAGTAAAATTTTACACAAATTATGAAAATCATAGTGAATAATCCAATCTCGTAGCGGTTCGTAGATTCGTAGCTCGTAGCACGTAGCAGGCGTAGTCGTCGCGTAGTCCGAATTTGATTGGAAACTTCGATCAATTCTAGCCAAGCTATAAGTTCGCGATAATATTTAATATTTTTATAATGTTTAGTAGTAGTTAAGAAATGTGTTCCTATAGTCTGTGTTGTAAAAAATTTTAGTTTATAAAAAAAATCGTAGCCATGTAGAATTTAAGTAGAATCAAAGATAGTTAATAAATAAAAAATGTGCTCAAATGCAAAAATTGTGCTATAAATTATTCAGAAACATATTTTATCTTTAAACTAATCCTGGATAAGTATTGTGTGTGATGATTTTCGATGAAGCACACGCAATCAGGCTATAAGTGCCCACTGCTGAGCAAAGACCTCTCCTGACATGGAGAAGGTTTCAGCATTAATCACCACGGTTGCTTAAGGCGATTTTAAACCTATGATTAGAAATTATAAATATAGGTTTCTTCACAATGTTTCCTTTCAAGATATGTCTATGATGTCTAAAATGAACTTAGAAAGTATATACTCGGAAAAAGTCACATTGGTTCTTGCCAGGCCTTTGGGTCAACACAACGTCGAAGTACACGAGTACATCTACCAAATTAAAATTCTCAGGTTCAGAACTATGCTAGTTAGTTATAGTTACTATCAAGTAATGCTACCATTATCATCCTCGTCTAGTTAATTTCCTGCGTTATCACGAATGTCTACCAATTGACAACGTGTCATATCAAGCGACGGTGGCGCCATCTAAAGTGGTTCTCGTTCGCTCCACTTTCGATGAAATTGCGTACTTAGAAAATAAAAAGTATGAACATTATTTTCAATTTGAATAGCTTTGTATTTATGTTATGCGGCTATTGAATTAATTTTACGAGTATGAATCTGTTTACAACAGTTTGAATGAGCCATTTAAAGATGATAGACACTGAAGATGGTTATAAGATGAAATAGGTAATTTAAAAATGTTTAGAATATTTTTGGCATTATTATCATAAACTAAGGTAATTTGGGTTATGCACGTGTGGAAATTTCAATCTTGATTCACTGCCTGTTATAAGGGGATAATCATGTAATTGCCTCCTGCCGCCCAGCTTACTGACTAAAAACCATTTCTTTCCTTCAACCGTTCCTGCTCCGAACTGGTGCCGCGGCATATTATTATAACTTTTTATGTGATTATTCGTCAAACGAGCATATTACCTGATGGTAAGCAATTAGCGCCGCTTATGGACACATGCAACGACGAAGGAATTATACGTACGTACGTAGCCGACCTTTTGAGTGTTAGGGATTTGAAGATTTGGGTATTGGGGAGGGATTAGGGGAAGGGGACGGTAACGTCACTCACACTGCGAAACACAACGCTGTGGTTGTTTCACGCCGGTTTTCTGTGAGGCTGTGGTAACACTCCGGTCGTGCCGAAGCATGACGCTCCCACAATTTAAAGCACTTGCGACCCACATCCTTGGTTGTGTGTAACCTATTCTTCAAAAACTGCAGTCTCATTACAATTGCGCTATTTTGAGAACATTTGTGTATTAACGAATTGAATGCATCATGGATTTAATTCTTATTTCCTCTTGTTACAGATCTCCACTATGGGCCAGCGTTACTTAATCACTTTATGTGCTATGATGCTCGTCTCGGTTGGCTATTGCCAAACTGGTGAGTTGTTAATATTTGTCTTAATTAGCCACCACATGCTCTAATAAGCAATTTCAGTGAACACCAATTTCTTGATAACATTACACTAAAAGCTTAGGTGTATACTTACTGAAACTACATGCAACTACACATATACCTCTATTTTGACGATATTATATATATTTTTTCTCCAATAGCTTTTTCTGCTCAACTAACAAAAGAAAGCGCGTTGAAATCCGTAAAACATTAAAGTATTAAAATGCAACGCGAAAGTTTTAAGAATAATACCTACAAAAAAAGGGAGAATCCTAAAAATGGGAATGTTTAACCCGTTAAATGTCGGTTTATAAGACACAATAGAAAATACATTGTGTCTCGCGTGGATCCACGTTTAAAACATACGAAAGGTCAATGACCCTAAAAGCACCACTAAACCGAAATATTATCCATCATACTCAATTTCTCCAGAAACGGAGCCCCCAACTACCGCGACGACTAAATCTCCGGCTACCACCACTGTGGTGACTTCTACCACCACCGCGGCTTGGGAGACTGAGACCCTGAATGAGGGGCAGGCCATACAGAAGGCGCTGCAGTATCTACTGCAGCATCGCCAGCCAGATTGGGGCTGGGGAAATGACACGCACCATGTTATGCTGACACTGCAGGTATATAACATCATTATCATCATCATCATAGAAGGATACTAATGAACAAAATATTGTGGCTTTGTGGCCACTAGGGACATTTGGCAGACATTGTAGAAAATTGCGGGGCTTATTATTCTGTGATATCGATGTTGTGTCAAAATTTGCTTTCGTTTAAAAATATCATTTTTTCACTCAGAGGTAGGGCTTTTATTTTAGTTCCGGAATTTAATTAACTATTAGGCATTGATTTAAAGAACTGATCATTAAATGTGTTAGCGCAAGTCGATACCACGACCTCATCTAAGAGCAGCAAAAACGTCATCCTGTTTCTTTTTAATTAGTAAGAGCCTGAAACTCACTCTTGTCTCACATTGGGCGAGAGATGTCATTTGAAGATTCCCTCAAAAAAAACCTCGTACTTAATGATAATCGCAACGTACTCTATAATTTTGGACAACTGTTGACAAAATCAACTAGGCATTGCTTAGGTATCTATATTATGAATGGGTTACTATCCAATATTCAGGCCTTAAATGATGACGACGTCGACACCATTAATTCTTGGCGAATAACCAACTAGGTGCTCAGCGAAGCTATCAGGAAACCCATCGCAAATACATTTCGGTGTCGCATTGGCATCTGTACTAATCCAGAGATATATTGCCTTGCCAATATCTAAATGCTAACATCTCTAATAATTATTGTAGATTAGCCTACGGGATATTTGTCGAATACCTTGAACAAATTATCTTCGATCTGGCTGATAGTTAAACATTATTATTAAGCTTGAGAACGCTAACGTTACACACATAGAAATCAGACGCGATATCACCTACGTGTCCGCCTATAGAGTTCGGTCTCAAAACATTATGGCTTTTCTTATATTTTTGACGATATTTGCCAAAAACTCCCTCCTAATACCATGACTACAAATAAGATTGTCAGGTCGCCTTATCTAACAGCTTGACAGGCAGACTTACGAGTTGGACCTAACACTTGGGTAAAAATGCCCAATACTGGTTTGGTTCAAAACATTAACGTCGTAAAAGTGTGTGTCCGCACAAATGAAGAACACTTAAAAGGCTGTAATTTTAAAGAGAGTCTACGTCTCCATTCAGAAAGTCAAAATATGTCCAGTTTTACCCTGGCGACGCCTGGGACCCATGACAACAAATTACATTACATTTTCAAGTCATAATTACAGAATGATATGAGATAAATCAAATTTCCAGTTGGCCAATAACACTGGTAAGGAGATTGAGCAGCAGGGTCTGGAGATGCAGCTCTCAGCCAAGCAGATGGAGATCGAGATTCTGCTAATGATGTCAAAGTGAGTCCTGTTAAGCTTAAATATTAGGTACTCTATTCTCACTTAGGAGTTCAAAACATTATAGTAAAATGGCACTTTATAAAGTATCTACCAACTATTCCAAGTAAACATGATGCACTTGAGGTCGTAGTAGGTACTTCTAAATCCCTTTTTTATCTCCAGACATCACGAGTCTCCTCCTCCATTGGGCCGCCTCGCTGCCTACACCCTGGCTCTCGGAGCTCTCTGCAAGGATCCTCGGTCCTTCCACGGCCGAGATCTAGTGGCTGCCCTCCTCCATCGAGAGCCTCCCCATGATCTTGAGTTCGCCTACGCGACACTGGCTGCGTGTTCCTCAGCAGCCCATGTTCGTCGCCGCCATATTCGAAGGCTCTTGGACATTGCCAACGCTGCTTCTGACCATAGTCTTGGTAAGTAGAAACTTAACTGTTTAAAGAGCAAATGACATGCTTCTAAGAAATTTAACATTTCATGGGTTATGTATAAGCGTTTTCTCATATTTGCACAAATAAAGTTATACTGCACTGCTGGAACTGAAGGAACTACCGATAAGCTAGGGTCATGTGGCTTTCTCAGTTCTCCTCTGTAGAAGATCTTCTAAAAAAAAAAGTCCGTTCTCTAATTCTCATAAGAATCAACAACAGTATCAGACACGACTAACATCACTTGTCATGTTCCAGACACGATCTCAATGGTGATCTTGGCGCTGCGCTGCGTGGTTCAGGACCACCGTCACCGCAGCCTCATCCACTTCGTGCGCCGCCCCATGGCTGGACTCGCAAGGCAACAACACACTGACGGCAGCTTCGGTACCCTTACCACTACCGCCTTGGCAATTCAGGTATGACTGCCAATAAGAGTAATTGATGATAATTCTGTTGACATCTCCTAGAAGAAAGAAGATTAGAAAATACGTTTGTATCTTAACACTCTTACTATTCTAATGACTCACGTATAAAGGAGACCAGGCAGCAATGATCCTACTAAGCCTGAACTTTTTTTATTTGCGATCACCTAAAAAATATCTCAAGCCGTTCTTCTTAAACATTTTGGATTTGTCCTGGCAGTAACACATAAATTTTACTAATGTTTTTCTTAACGGCTGTACTTTATTATCAAGCTCCCAAGAGACAATGAAGCATTTACTGATTTTTTTTATACTGGAATTCTTTTAAACTGCTTTAAACTTATATTGTCGTTGTTGTTCTACAGGCCTTGGAAGATTCTGAGTCAGGACCAGGAGCGCATCAGCACTGGAGTTTCCCAGCGGCGCGCAAGTGGTTGGTGGAGAGGCAGCGAAGTGACGGTGGCTGGGGAGACGTGGCCAGCACTGCTGCAGCCGTGGCCGCCCTGACACCTGCCTCGCTGGCTGCTGTCCGCCCGCCACACTGTGCTGACAAACTCCTTGACAGCCGTCACGAACCTCTCGGTGGGTGTCCAAGACGCAATCGTCTAGCTCTCCTTTTGAAAAAAAGATCACTAAAACATTTTTATTGTACCTATTAAATGGTTCTTAATAAAGTACGAAACTACAGTACATTTTGGAGTTTTTTTACTCCTTGAAACGTCAACGAGTAATGCAATGTGTATTTATATGTATATATAATGTGAACGGCACACCCAGAATCGTTTAATTGGCTTTTTGGCCAGGACCTCTAGAATTCAAGGTATTACAAGATTTTCAAGTAGGTAGGTTAGATAAATTCACATGACTTATAAGTATTCGTCAAAATACTTTTGAAAACGATCACCATCTCTACTGCGTACTAATGAATTAATTTGGTAACACTTCCAGATAGCAACGGTGGTGATGGCACCCTGAAGCTGGCCTACCAATCAGGCAGTACCAGCAACGAATCGGATGCTCGCAACGTATCCTTCACTTACACCCTGTGGGTTGGAACCAATGTCACCGAAAATTATACTTTGCACATGGTCGCTCCCAGGTAAGACAACCTGTTAAATATGCTACTAACCTTTTTGAGGGGGGAATCATCATATGATCAGGGTGAGGCGAGTAACAGAATCTTACTGACTAAAACCACCCCTTTTCTTCTCCTGTTCCAAGCCGAAGCCTTGGTACTTTATTGCGCTTGCCCCGCAACCCCGGCTACCTAGCTATTACCTACTTTAGAACGCTTTTCAATTAAGAAATAAAATATTATCTTTTTAAACTCCCTGCATATACACTTTACATAAGCTATAAAACTATTTTATGTATTTTATAATTACAGGAACATATCATTCTTCCACGTGATGCAAATGGCAGCGGAGATGCACCCAAAGTTCAAGTTTGAGGCGAGTGAGTGGCCCAACGGTCACTATGTGCATACGATCGCGGGCCACAAGGAGGAACCTATGGGTTATCACTACTGGCTGCTCTACCGTCTGCCCGAGAAACCTGATCCCGCCAGCCCTCCTGGCAATCAGCTCGTCGCTCCAGTCGGTAAGAAATTTCGTTACTTTATGACTTTATTGATAGATTCTTCTATTAGCCTGATATTCTAACTGATAGATTAAGAACTTTCTAACTTTTGCCACGTATTTTTTTATAAAAAAACATCTTTATCCTTTATCTATTTCATTGTCTATGACACTGCTTATTAGCCATTGAACTAACAGCCTTAATATTTAACAATTTTATTGAATAGTAGAATTACGAATTGAAACCGTCAATTGATGGTTCATTTTAATCAACTGAAACCTAATTACTACCAGGTAGTTTTGGTTAAAAAAAGTAAACCGCACAGAAATCGAATCGTCCATTGGAATAAAGCAGAATTAAACAGTTAATTGTATAACGATACCATTTATTAAATCAGTTGGGACTTTTATTGAATGGCTTATTAATCTAATTGGCTATAACATCCTTAAACTTATTTGTTGTTGTTAGGCCACTAAGTGTCGATGAACTCACAATCTATGTTTTCTTTGTAAAAATTTAATCAAACTTAATTTAAACCATTTCAGGTGTGGACGACTTATTAGTTGAAGACGGAGAACATTACCTGTTCTGGTACAAGAAGTTGTAATTCTTCCACTGATATTACCCCATCAGTTACCGCAATGATTGTTTAACTTCTGTCATCGTATAATACCTTTGTTCCATCTTCTCTTTTAATTTAATCTTTCTGTTCAATCTGTCTAAAACTTAGCTGTAAGATTCGCAGTCATAATATCGTACGTATTTCAATAGGAATAATAGTTTTTAGGAGCATATTTATCAAATGATTGTACCTTTAATAATATATTAACTCTGACTATTTTTAACTTTCACAATTTAGCTGTGGTCAATTCTTTAATGTTACTAGAAATTTCAGGTTTCCTTACTGAACATACGATAAATTTACGTACGCCTATTTATATTCCAAACTTCATAAATACTTGTGATTACTACTGGAGGTACTCATAATTGGTCCCATTATAGTACCCTGGGGAACTCTTACTTTGTCAGTGAAATGTTAATGTGGCCTTTATTATCTGAAGCTGACCACATAGACTAAGTAGGTCCCATGGCGGACACTCAATTTAATGTTTACTTAATAACGCATTATATTTTAGAAACAATCTGTATTCGATAATATCATAATCAATAAATGATATCATTAGAAAAAGTTATCTAAGATTTCCATATTCTCAATGAAGACACTGTTTTTGTCGGCAATACTTTGCATGTGTTTGTTAGCATGTACTATAGCATTTAGATCAATGTTAAGATTCATGTTAAAATAAGCGATTCTCAACTTAAAACATTTTTAATACCTTAACATCGAGTTTATGGAAAAATGAATGATAATAATCACATAATTTATAGATAAACCAGGATAAACTATTCAATATATTACAGAATTTGAACAGATTTCGTCATAAAACTGTTAATGGAATAAAATGTATACTTAATAGGGACTACAAGAAACAAACTACTCGTTTTATCGTCTGTCCAAAGGAATGCAAGTAATTCATAGGTCACGAATATGAATGACAAGCGAATGATTGTTCATATTTCCATAAACTGATTGTCGATTATAATTCTAGTTATTATATTATTATACTGTGTAATCTCGGAAACAATAGATTTTAAAACTAATCATTTTAGACGAGACTGAACGCAGTGTTATCTAATTGAAATGCGTTAGAATAACATTTTTATTGTACCTATTGAATGGTTCTTAATAAAGTACGAAAATACGGTAAACTTTGTGGTTTTTTGACTCAATACATCACCGCCTAACCCAACGGCACACGAGAATTGTTTAATTGGCTTATTAACCAGGACTTCTAGTCATATTTAAGGAGTTTTATTTAGTATGGCAGACCCATCGACACAATAGGATCGACTCGACCGGAGTGATATAGTATCACTCTCCTCACAGAAAACCAACGTGAAACAGCCACAGCGTTGTTTCGTCGTGTAAGTAAGGTCACCAGAGGCCCAATCCAAGATTTAGGGATAAGGAAAGGATTCAAAACCCTAATCCCCAAAGGTCGGCCACGCACTCGTATCTCCGATGTTGTTGATTGACTTATTTATTGATAAAGATACTATAATCCTCTTGCAAGTTTCCTATTCATTCATATAAAAAAATGTCTTTAGCCAGGACCTCTAGAGTTCAAGATAATGCAAGATTTTTAAGTAGTTTGGGTAAAAAACTGTCCAAGGCTGACTTTTTCACATGACTAAGGTTATAAGTACTCATCACACTGCTTAAAACAGTAGATAAGCCCATTTCAGGTCAAGGTCACTCCCTACGAACCAATGAGAACTAAAAGACAAAGTTAAGATCCAACATTTATTAAATTTGTACAATTTACACATAACACCAATTTGACCACGTCGGCTAGGTATCAATACCTAAATAGTGCAAGGAAGCTACAAAACTTTTCATATATTGCATAGAAAATGGAAAACAACGTCCTCATAAAAATAGCATTTGAATATTTATAAATTTGAAAGTGCTTATCATAAGAACTTACACAATAAGTTATTTTATAACTCAAATCACACATACAACCTTCATTTAATAATAAAATGGAACATAAAATAATGTATTTAAACTGAGAACATAAATAACTAAAATATACCTTAATCAAATAGTCACGATTTTAAATAACATAAAACTATACTGTTTTATTTCCTATCAACCATTTTATGGACTTTACAGTCTCATATAATAATATACTTTACATACTCTCTATTGCAATATTTCGTCTCAAAAGAGATCTGAAACCTTCACAGAATACTATTAGAATATTCGCTTAGCTCAGGAGTAGCTTAGAAGAAAACTGACATAACACAACAATATGCATTCCCTTCATTAAAAATATGCATGACACAGCGATGGATATTGCACATCAACCTTTGGAAAGAGACAATCCAAAGTAAAATCCAAGAAAGACAAAGCTTTGTACGAATAAATGATCATAAAATCAGCATATGTGCAATATTTATCGTCACCTAGTGTACATTTATAACTGCAGCTTTTTTGTAATTAAAAGATTTGTTTCACAATTAGCCGATCAATTTGTAAGGGGCTTAGCTGATACATTTTTGATACCGTAAGACACGTTAAATTTTCTTCTAGTTAGACTTCAATCTGTAAACTAACCAGAATGGTGAAACAGGGCCTCAGTTCCAGGATAAGAAACTATTATTTCCCGATTAACAAGAATGTGTTGTACATGCTAAACCGACCATTGTAAATGTGTGATGTAATAAAAAAATGCGATTACTAAGATACCATTTATAAGTTGATTTCTGCAAGTAACTGTTTTTCCGAAAATCGACTTTCCTTTCCGTTTGTTATTTGACTGCCTATAGAAAACTATTGAAGGCAAATCAATAAATAACAAATGAGTTCTCAATTTAGCTCCTTCAAGTGAGAGTATCAGTTTGTTATTTGTACTATGCTTCCAAAAAAAGTTTCCAGTCAAATCAAGATATGGAAAAATCAAGAACCGGAAGAGTTAACACCATCAGCACCCTATGAAGATAATTTAAGAGCGCTTGTTCCCGTCAATCTTCAGATCACCATAGACCTTGAACTTGAAGGTCTACTAACAGGACCATTAGAAAGGAATTGGATGTTGAGGATATCTGTTGCACTCATTGGGGCTTTATCTCATGGGTCTGGATTGACAACCCATGCAATAATGCAAGTTGGAATGGATCTTGAGAAATTCCTAACTCCAAAATTAAATCATATAGGAGCCACATCATTTGGAACACTCCCTAGAGCAATGGTAAAGACAGTATATAAGGTATTTACCTGCTGTGGTGTTATCCCTCCACCAAGATACAGGTTCCGACAACAAATGGGGGAGCACTCCATGTTAACAGGGAAGGGTGGTGCAACTGCTTTTCTTCAGCTCAATGCAAGTATTGAACTTGACAGTTTTGACTTATCTCTACGAGATAAAGCACTTTTGAAGGGATTCAGACAGATCTTTCAAATAGATCCTCTCGTTACAGACTTACCTCCTCCCACTCTCCCCCATCCTGGAAGTATGAATCCTTCTGTGATCTTTAGACATATTGTCATGGGAGATTATGATAAACCAAAGGTGGCAGTTCAAAGTCAAGAAAGAAAACTCTTGGGGATTTGGGGAGAACTTAGAAATAAAATGAAGATGAAGATAAAATCCCCTGAAGACTCAGCACAGGAGGGTGGATGCAATCCTTGTTCTGGACCTTTTGCCATGCCCTATGTCCATCAGGACAATCAGGACAGCCACCAGGCTGGGACCTCTAAAGTCCATAGTAAAATACCAAGGAAGAAACAGGATCCTCAAGACCCCAACTAGTTCAGAAAACAAGAAGAAGTGGACAACGCCAGAACACAACAAAACGCCCCCACACTATAGTGGACATATGATAGTCGATGTAAAAAAAAAAAAAAAAAAAGAAAAAAAAAAAAAAAAAATCTAATCTTCCGCTGCCGTAGATCGCGGACGACCTACTTGTCAGTAATTCATTTGTGCTTTGTTTTAAAATCAGCTGTCACAGGTTTGTATATCCACAACTTCATGCGGCCTTGGTAAATATAAAGAAATTGCATGCAATAGCTATGTAATGCAATAAGAAGATTACTTAACATAATAAATTCAGAATAGAAAATTTAGATGAGCAATAATAACATTAAATAACAATATGAAAATAATTCAATTGTGCATTTAATTAAATGTTTTGTGTCACAGGTTTGTATATCCACAACTTCATGCGGCCTTAGTAAATATAAAGAAATTGCATGCAATAGCAATGTTACATATAAGAAGACTCCTAACATAATAAATTCATAATAGAAAATATTGATGAGCAATAATAACATTAAATAACATTATAAAAAAAAATTCAATTGTGCATTTAATTAAATGTTTTGTGTCTATTATTATAATTATGTGCGTACAGCTCTATCTAGTACATAAATAATTAGGAATTTTTAAATTACACAAAGAAAGGAGATGGTAAAAATGCTGAATATGCGTATGTGCGGTAGGGGAAATGTTTTATACCCGTATTTCCGAATAAAAGTATTAGATAGTAGCTACTAATGTCGTATGAAAAGAGACGTGCGAACCGGCCTGGAGCAGGCAGAAGAAAGAACGGTTGTCAGTAAGGGTCTGACAATTCCTCTAGCAGAGAAGGTGATGTTGAAAGGTGATGTTTTTATCCCTCCCTGAAGAAAAATGCCTACCTTACTTTGTGTAATTTTGGTGTTGATATTTCCAGTTAATGGATCCGTAAACAATCCGTTTATAATCGGTCTGTTGCAGCTGTAGTAAGAGGAGGGGAGGGCTATACAGAGTTTCTGAGCATTCAGAGAGGATAATATCGCTAGAGAAGTACCAAATACAAACACGATTAAAGTAATAAGTGAAAGGAATACGGACATAACACTCCAATAAGTCATAAAGACCAGATTTAAGACACTTAAAAACCATTATTTATTTATTTAAATCTTGTATATTTAAAATGCAACAGCTTTCTTGTATCGACGCTAAATGCGTTGTATTCATAAGGCTTAAATTCGAACATTTTCTGACGGGGAAATAAATTGGTAAATAAGTTTGACAGATGACATTACAACTGTCAAAATAACGCTTCGTGATTGGCTAAGGCAAGTAAGAGCTATAGTGCTGCCATGTTTTATCTATCCACCTTAGCAACAATAATACAATATACATCCTAAATTACTTTATGTGCGTGAAACTATTAGTATTGAAAATATATAGACAGCTTTTAGCGAATTATTATTTACAAATACATTGGAATAGACAAGAAATGATAAATTACTTAAGATATATATATTATTTATATCACATAGAGTACCGAAGAGGTAATGGTTTCAGGTCAAATCACATAATTTGTTAAGATTAAATGGGTCCGAGTCGAAACGAACTTGTAAAGTAATCCTATAACAACCAAACACAAAGATCCAAACTATAAATCTCTGAGATTTCTATGGCTAATGAAAAATCATTCATTCTTGCATACAATGACACATTAATTCTTTTCATTTCGACCTAGACCTGTAGCAACCCACTCTTTAAGTTCGCGTGATTACATAACGTGAACCGATAACCGTTATGCTATCGAAATAAGGTTTCAACTGCAGTGACAGACTCATATTTCCGCAGCATAAGTAAATTTCACAGTGAACCTTTTAGTTTTGTTTTTAAATACTTGTATTTTCTTTGTTATACGTTACAACCAGATTCTGTAAACCACGTGAATCAGTTGTGTAGGTTGGTTAATAAATCCTAACTGGATGCATACTAAGGCGTGATCACGATGCGGTTCATGATCGTCGTGTACGCGAGTCCCAGCGCCCACGATACTTCGTGGCCATTCACTTTCTTGAATAACTGGAAATAATATTAAGAATTATTAGGTTTTTTATAGAAAAAAGTGTGTAAGAACCATGTTTCTGCACGAATGGGTCGGCTCGATCGGATTGCTGCCACGACCTCACACAAATCCGGCGAGAAACAACCACAGGTTTGCGTTTCGTGTGAGTGAGGTCTGCGGTAGGTCTAATCCTGCCCCTGCCCCAATCCCAAAATCTCCAAATCTCAAATGTGGCGGCTGTCTATGGGCAGATTGCTTACCATCCGATAATCCGTCTGATCGTTAGCCGTCCTCCTACATAACTAAAAATAGTAAGGCTTTAGAGAAACTGGCGTGACACATTTTATTTCGTAGGATAAATAAGGTCCAACCTCTCTACTAAAGAACTGCGATATACTCCGGAGAGTTGCAAATACGTTTTGCGCAAGAAACTTAAAAAACATGTTACGAATGACAAAAATGTTTTTAAGAAGAATTTATTTCTTTCCCGTCTATTTTGTACCAAATTCACCTCCCGAAAAAAAGATTCAGATATTAGACTCCAAAATCTTGCTAAAGGCTAACATTTGCCGCTGTCTTCAAAATCATGGCATTTAGCAAAATAGTAACATGAAAGACATTATTTTTTGAGGATTTTTAAGTTATAAAATACAAACTTACATAAATAGGTTCATCGTCACTGATCTTGTAGACGTCCTGTAGTAACGTGACGATGTAGACTAGGTCTATGCAGGCCCACGGTTGGTCTACATTTGGAGTGGAGCACGCTTCCAACGCTGCCTTGCGATAAGCCGATACAGAAACTTGCCCGCCCGTCATAACATCTGAAATAGGCCGATTATTTAAAATTCTATACATAGTAGAGTGATAAAATAAATAAAAAAAATCTTTTTAAAGTTACATTACGTTAATTATAGTATCATTGAATACATCAAGTCATTAGAAAACCCTTTAGGCGGACATTATATTAACCAAAAGTGTAGGAGAGCCATGCTGTTTAGTGATATCACTAAAAACCGGCGTAACTAGACGTTCGTTGTGTCTCGTCAATTAAAGAGGTTAGAGGCTCAACACTTCCCCTTCCCGCGGGTCTGCAGTCGGCGAGTAAGGGCAACTCGCCGCCCGACCAGAACCAGACCCACCAGCGTACGGCGCGTAGCGTTCTGCGCGCGCCTTACAGAGCCAATAGACCACCACAGACGGGGCCCTATAGGGCTGATGTTCAGCCGGGGTTGCGGGGCAAGCGCAATGAGGTACCGCGACCTCGGCCCAGAGAAGGAGAAGGAACAGGGGGGTTTTTAGTCAGTAAGAGTCTAACACTACCTCCAGCCCGGCCCTGGGCGGGAGAAGTCATTTGATGATTTCCCCTCACAAAAAAAAAACACTGGCCCTTCCCCCATCCCTCCTCAACCCCTAAATCCCAATGGATTGAGAAGGGATGGGAGTCCCTCTTCCAATACCTCCAAGCGTGGAGGCTGGAGGTAATCTTTAGTGCTGCAGTATATGATTTTAAAATATTTATTATTTAAAATAATTCTTAAAGCAGTAATTAACACCGGCGAGGTACCAGGGCGGCATCGCTCGCGAGGAGTATACACTTAACGTACCTATAATGCCGGCGTCGGCGGCGACGTCGTAGAAGTAGCTCATGGCGGCCACACTGCCTAGCGGCGCCTTCTTGGGCTCCCAGTCTACCGCCGCCATTACACTGCGCCGTACTACCGCGTGACACGCCGCGTATACCGCAGATCGCTTTGAACCGTGCACGCGGAATGCACCACTAAAAAACAATAATATAAAATACATTGCAACCTATCCAACTAATAATAAAAAAATATAGTCAGTTATTAATTTATTACTTTGATGTTTTTACGTTATTAATGTCCTAGAGCCGTTGAAGGTGTTGCCAACTGAAAATGAGTGTTGAATGCTTTAGCCTTTGCTTAGTTGGCAATCCGTTTGGCATAGATAGGTAGGTTACCTCTTAGTTATTTTTTGTTACAACTGTTGCATTTTAATTAGTGATTTACTGTAGGATTAATGCCCGGTTCCTATATTTAACGAATCGTCGTTGTATACACATTACGACCAAATGACATTACGAATAGTTATCTTGACCGTCTACTGACGGTTAAAATATTTATAGGAACACTACAGACACCATAGATCTCCATACAATTCGCTTACCGACATCCGTTAGTTGCAAACCGTCAGTAAGTTGCACGACGAGACGTTTGTTATAGGAACGGTTTTAGCTTACGAGTCGTATATAAAACTACTATTCGTAACTAAAACGGATCGTTTCTCAATTATAGGAACCGGGCATAAGTCAATAAATAGAACTGTATGTTTTATATTTTTGACATCATGGAAAGTGCTAAATAAAAGAATCGAAAGTATTCTTAACACCTTGAAGGTTTAATTACAATTTTGATTTTGCAAATCACTTACATATTTGCATTGTGAAACATGGAGGCCTACCACTCCATAAATACGGCACGGCATAAATCCTCTAAGTCATATCTGCTCTATGACCTCACACACAAACTCAGGTCACGTGAAATAAAATAAATTTTTGTTTACCTGACAAAGTAGTTCTTGTTAGCGTAAGTCCACTGTTCCCGCTGTATGATGGGGTCGACGCATACGGAGCGGAACTCCTGCGTCTCATCCTTTAGCGCCTCCGATTGGAACACACCGAAACGGGCCGCCAACAGACCTAGCTTCAAATAGCTGGAAATAATAAAGATTTTATTAACACAATAATAATTTTGTAGACAAAAATACTATAATTAAACTAGTTTTTTGAATTAATAAATTAATTAAATATGTTAAGTGGCTTATAAATTCACGAAATTTTTACGTAGACAACTCGACTAGTTTTAAGCAACACTGGGAACTATACCAATATGGGAATTTATAGTCATGTAGTCAAGTCCAATAGTATTCGTGCTTTTAGAGGTAGTTGGCTGGGCGACATTGCGTCGTATGTCGTAGTCAAGAACAATAGTAGTAGTCATTTTAAAGAAAGGTAGCTGCGCAACACCCCGTTGTGTGTCGAGTATTGATGCTCATGCATATGATCCCTAACTTAGCTTGAAACTAGTCGAGATATCTCGCTAAACAGTTGGGAGGGTAGGCCGTTAAGAATATTTAATTGAAGACACGGGACTGCTAAGCATAGGATTTATTGTACTACTCACAGAACAGAAAATTAAGTAGAAGTGCCCCTACACTCTTTCAAAAGGAAAACCAGTGTCGCCAAAATCACACATTCGCAAATCAAATTGTCCATTACACACATAAAAAACAGCTATATAATTGGGTAAAAAAATGAAACGCAACTTTAGCAAATCATCTTTTAAATTTGTTAAAAATTGAGTCTTATAACAATGAGCGAAAGTTGTTATCATTTCACATGTCACAATCAATAAAGGCGCCTATCGTGTAAAAAACTTAAATAAAACAATTTACAAACGGGTTCAGCCACTCAACGCTAGATGGCGCTGTAACAAATTCATTCTATTCAATACGCTAACTTCTTTGAAATAGATGTCATATTTGTATGCACTTGTACCAATAGACATTTACTATTTTGCTACTCAGATAGGGCAGGGTATCCCAATATATCGATGTTTTTGTATTCGTGTGAGCAATATAATTTATCGACACGATATACCTACAAATGATTAGTAATGAAAAAGGTTCTAATAGAAAAAAAGAAAAATATTAACATATTTTTTGAAGATTTAATGTTTTTTGGAGATGGTCAAGTTATTATTAAAGATTTCGATTTTAACATATAAAAGCACTACGCGCTCCTACAAGTTTTATCTCCTTTCCATAAATAACGGATACGAAAAAACAAAAAAAAAATGTTACAGTCGAATTGAGAGTCACTCTCCTTTTTGGAACTCTGATAAAAATCATGTACAACATCTATACTTATAATAAATCTGTAGAGGGGTCAATTCTGTACATTAAAAATATATTTTCAAAATAACTACCAGGGGGTGATTAGTGATCGATACTGTTGCCAAAAATGCAATCAGTAAAAATTTTGTCTCTGTCTGTCTGTATGTTCTTTATAGAAACAAAAACTACTCGACGGATTTTAACAAAACTTGGTACAATTATTCTTTATACTCCTGGGCAGGTTATAGGATACTTTTCATCACGCTACAAATAATAGGAGCAGAGCAGTGAAGGAAAATGTTGGGAAAACGGGAGAAGTTACTCCCTTTTGTAAGTTTCAGTCGCGTGTGTAACCATAATGGTTAAACTTACATAGAAATTATGTATGACGGAAATATTTTAAATAAAATTGTCTAAATAAAATGTTTTACAGCATATGTCTATCTTTTATTAACTCACAATAACACGTGTAACTCCTGATAGCTTAGCAATTCGGATAATAAGACATAGCGCCGTCGCAAGTGAACACTGAATCATGGTATAAGAATTATTTTTGTGTAGCGGTTGCCGTGCTCGACACGATGCTGTATAAAATATAATATAATATAGGTTTTATCAAATATTTGTAACTCTTACCTATTAGTTAGATCCGTGCCTTTCTATCTATGGACGGACGGACTACGGAGACTTAGTAAGTAATAGGGTATTTACCCATTGGAGATGTACCCATAAAAATGAGACGATAAATACCAAATTTTATGTATACTTAGATTTTGTTCTATTGCTATTTGCTGCTTTTTATCAACACAGCACGCGGGCGAAAACTAGTTATAAAATAAAAATGGTGATTAACCACCCGCACCTGCCACAGACGGATGCACGCTGTGTGTGGTTAAAACGTTGACGTGTCTATGCAATCTTAGTTAAACATTTATGAATTATACACAAAAATTGTCAAAAATCAATTTTCTGAACGATGATGAAAAATTATCGATATGAACCTATTTTACGAATATGTCGCATCCCTAAATGAGTAGCGTCGAAACTACTAGAATGTATTGTATATAACATCACATAACGAACAAGTAGATTTAAACTTAATTGTAATGAAAATAAGGCCCTTTATAGTTTGCATTGAAGTAATCAAATGTGATATTTACATTAAAATCAAATATATTTAAAATTAACAAAGGTTAATACTCAAAGATGATACGATACACCACCAAAAGACTCATCTTTTTTTCTGCTTACTTTTTTGCAGTTGAAAACCGCACAACAAGGCATAATTTCTAATATATTTCGTGTTTCTTAGAGACAACTATGACAACCAATCATGACAACGGATCGAACGATTCTGACAACAAATGTGCCAAAATGTTGTATATCTAGTCATGATGTTGGTTAGCGCGCGATGTCTGAACGGCACTTCCACTGTATTTTCTATTCCGTGGTACTACTGGTTTCCTCTATTTCAAAAATACCAAGTATGCCACAAAATCTAAAATTAGATCCGCTTATTATTATAAGTTCAATATAGGGAATACTATATGGATTCATACACAAATGCCAAAAACATTCTAATTAAGTATATATAAATAAAAAGAGTTCTGTATGTTTTCTCTTTTGTCTTCATCTGAACCTATGATAAAAAATACATTACATACTATAACAGTATGTATAAATAATTGTAGGAAATTACCTGTGCGTATAGAGGGTGATGTTATCCCCAGCTGGCACGACGAACTGGTCCTTTTTGGGGAAGTTAGCGGTCTCGCTGTTGCTCAACTGGTAGGTGATCTGTGTTGACCCACCGCCGAGATCCAAAGCCGCCATTGTGGACCCTCCTATTAAATCTGAAAGGAAATAGTAAGAAGTTAATTACAATCCTTAGATTAATATAGAATTTGTGATATAGTGTTGCCATGTCGATCGAGACTTTGAATAGTACAGTGATTGGCAACACAAACTTCCAACAAAAATAATGACATTTCATTTAAAAAGTCCCTGTGGCGCAACAAATTTCTTTGGAGGGAAGAAGCAATGAAAAGCAGACCTTCCTCTAACGTTTTACTACTATATTATAAAAAAATATTTATATAAAACAAAGTAGTAACACTATTCACAACTCGAGAACGGCTGAACCAATTTCATTGAGAGTTGGTAAGGACATAGTTTAGAACCAGAAGAATCACCTAAGATAAGTTAGAAGAAGAACATAGAATAAGATGGAGTAGGTAATGTAGGGTAGGTGGAGTAAGGAAGGCAGTGTAGGTAGACAACCAAATAGGGCATTATAGGTAGGCAAATGACGGGAACGAAGCCGCAAGTAAAAGCTGGTACAAAATAAATTAGAGACTTACTATGCAAGAGATTGATGGTGTACCAGATAAAGATTCCTTCATCAGATCCGTCCATGATCTGCACACCATCAGAACCTACGTCGTAACCCAATCTGAAAAGGAAACATTGGATATTAATTTTTTGTCACGCTTCGCGTTAAAGCGAATAAGAAGATCATCTTAATTATAGATTATCAAAATGATAAATACAATATACAACATTAAACATATTTTAAAGCGTCAATGAAAGGCGGGAGTTAGCGACATACTGATTTATTGAATAATCCTTAGAATCTACCCGTCACCGTACAAATATAACGACAACTATGGAACAGTCGGTATATATTTTAACACGATTTTTTTTTTAATCTCATTTATTTTAACGGATTTTTGTACACATTTTGTGACGATGTCAATCCCATCGTGCTTTTACATATCAAATATTTGTTTTTTAACACGATTTAATCTTTACAATTCCGTGGTAGTTAGTGTGTGGCGTAGTGGAAGTGATTTCCAATTAGCCCATTCTAAAATCACGAAGTAGCAAGCAGAACAACGCACTCGAAGCTCTACTGGTGTTGCGAAAATTAAGAGAATGGGCAGGGGTTTGGAGAAGGGGAATAATGTTAGGGCCAGTAACCTCACTCACATAGCGAAACACAAATCTATGGTTGTTTCACGCGAGTTTTATATGAGACCATGGAATCACTCCAGTCAAGCCGACCCATTTGTGCCGAAGCATGTCTCCCCCACCTAAGCGCAATAAGGCACCACGGCCTTGGGCTAGAGAAGAAGGAACGGGGTTCGTCAATAAGAGTCTGATACTCTATCACGCCTCACCCTGGGCGGGAGAAGACATTTGATAATTATACCCCACAAAAAATCCCTAAACATTAGCCTGTTCATTTCATCATCATCATCAGCCTATAAGTGCCCACTGCTGAGCAAAGGCCTCTTCTCTCACAGAGAAGGTTAGAGCATTAATCACCACGCTTGCTCAATGCGGGTTGACGATTTCAAACTTATAATTAGAAATTATAAGTCCAGGTTTCCTCACGATGTTTACCTTCACCGTATGTCAGTGGTGTCTAAATAATCATAGAAAGTACATATAACTCGGAAAAAGTCACATTGGTACTTGCCAGGTTTCGAACCCGCACCCTCATGCATGAGAAGCGGGCGCCTTAACCTCCGGGCCACCACGACTTTTATTCTGCCTGTTCATTTGCCAGAAAAAAGGTGGTCAAATAAATCTGTATGTCTGTACTCACTCGGCAATAGCTCTAGCGACATGGTCGATGAGCTGCTGTGCCTTATCGGCGGGTAGGAGTCTCAGGCCAGCCGTCGCCCGCACTATCAGAGGAGTCGTCTTCCTCTTCTCCGGAGGTGTTAGGAACTCCGCTTTCTTTATTAATTGCACTATTGTATCTGCGCCCTGAAATTTTAAAGGTTTTTGATATAGATAGGTATGTTAGAATATTGATTGATGGCACCATCAAAGCGATAGTAGTAGTAGTAGTAGTAGTAGTAATAAATGCCGTAAAACTCTTTTGTTGATCTACAAATTGTTGTTCCTTATGCGTGTTTACATTTGTTTCTTTGTAAACGCATATATAACATAAGAAAAATTCCTAATATTGAAAACGTTGTTTTTTCAACAACATTTTGCAATTATGGTCCAAAGCAGATTGGAAGTATGTAAGGATTCTCTAGTCAAAAACTAAACTATATATAGGTACTTTTGAAACGTCAAAGAAACAATAGTCTGTTAGTCGGTTCGTCAGTAAAACGCACTAACCCGATCCTTTGAGATGAAAAACCATGATATTAAATTTTATCTTCAACAACACTTTTTAAATACGACTTGAAAATTTCTACCGATATAAAAAGCCATAAATTGGCTTAAATATGCGACCTTTTCAAATATGTATAAAAACCAGGAAAAATACATCAACTTAAATAAGTTTACATGATAAAAATCTAGTTTAAAATACTTGTTTAAACTAACCTTAGCAGGGTCATCAGCGTAAGACGAGAGTCCGGGTTTGGACTGTTCGAAGTATTCATCTACTAAGTCCAGGTTACCCGGGCCGAATACTGAAACCAAATTGTACACTAATTAATCGCAGATAGATATGAACTTTCACGCTAAAACCTCTGGGTTTAAGCAATTACTTTAAGTATGCCAAGCTTCGGCACGAATGGGTCGGCTCGACCGGAGAGATACTACGGCCTCGCAGAAAACCGGCGTAACGTTGACGCGACTTACGTTGTTTCGCCGTGTGAGTGAGGTTGCCGGAGGCCCAATCCTTCTCCCCTATCCTTAAACCCCTAATAATCCTAAAAAGGTCGCCAACTCAGTAACTTCTTTGGTATTACGAGTGTCCATGGGCGGCGCTGATTGCTTACCACCAGGTAATCCGTACGCTAGATTGCCGACCTCTCACATAAAAAAAAAATATTTTAATATCCGAGGGGGTAGAGAGGCAGTGTATGAGTTAGAGTGTACCATACAATACAAACACTCAATCTACCAGTCAGTTTACTTAGTACACAGGCGCGGAGGAGGGGATTTAGGTACAGAAGCTACGGGCGCTCGCAAAATGTCATTTAATTTAAAAAACCAGCAATGACGTGGGAATCTCCAAGACTCCTTGTTCCGGAGTGATAAACACAGCATCGTGCTTAATACACTAACGCCCGGTTTCCAAAAGGCCGATCAATGTTAAAATCAATTTAATCTCTTGTCAAGTCATCTGATTGGTCGACTGAATTATCAACAACCAATCTTGACTGACTTGACAAGAGTTTGACTTGACTTGACAAGAGATTTAACAGGAGATTAGTTAGCGGACAAGCCTTTCTGAAACCGGGTGTAAAACATCAAGCAGCCAGTTATTGCTTATATTGATACTAGCTTCCCCCGTGCCTTCGCCCGCGTGGTATCTTGATAAAAAGCAGCCTGTGTGTTTTTTCGCCCATCTACATACAAATTTTCAAACAAATCGATCCAGCCGTTTAAGAGTGAAAGAATTACAAATATACATCCATGCATAATAACAAACTATCACGTTTATAATATTAGAAGGATGAATAAGCATATTTCGATCATGAAAACCTCAGGTAAACGTAAAACAAAAATATGAAATAGATTATAAAGACGTAATCCTTTCCTTTTTCTATCCCTTCTTCTCGTTGATTATCTATAAATTATGTTAAAACTAAATGTAGACCTTCTCCTTTACACTGAAAATATCAATTATTACTCAAGTGACCAAAATTTACTGAGACTACAATTACTAAGAGTACTAAGAGACTACAGTAAGTAAACCTAGTTATTGTCATCGATGTGCGTCATACAATTCCCGCAATCGTATAGACGCAAGAACATTCTCATTTCAACGATTTTATTAAACAGACAATGGTCTACCAAGATTATAGTGAAGTGAAAATATTCTTCTAATGTTATAAATACGAAATTTTGTAAGTATGGATTGATGAAAGTTTGTTACTCTTTCACGTAAAAACAATACCTACATGTGTGAGAACCATTCTTCGGCCCGAATGGGTCCTCCCCTCCCTAATTTCTATCTCCAAAATCCTAATCCCAAAAAGCCGGCAACGCATTCTTAACTCTTCTTTAATGATTAAGCATACATAAGGATACAGGGACAGAGAAAGCGCCTGATTGATTGGTTAACTAGGCCCATCTTTTTTCGTCAATCACAGACATCATAGGTTGGAGATTGGAGACACTTGTGTAGCGTAGATGAATGTAAGGCACTGTGTTCTGAATGGTAAACAATTGACGTCGCCCATCGACAAACAAGAAATCAGAGGAAACAATATTGACTTTGCTAGATGCGAGAGACTTGAGTATGTTTTCAAAAATGTTTTAACAGTTTTTCCCTGACCTACGGCAAAGCGTAGATAATAAGGTATTTGAAAAACATATATATATGGGCTGATTGCGAGCTTATATCATTGCCCGCATGAAGTATTTAGTTTCTGGCAGATATATGTATGATATTTACATAACACATTGATTCGACCTACTTTTCGGTCATTAATAATAGAAAATGAATTGTCTCAACTTCTAAAATACACGAAAGTTTCATCATTATTTAATATAAGGGAGAGTTTATAAAACCTTGCGAACTTCAGTTCCTAATAGCGTGCCAATGATATTTTTGCTACCGTCTCGTGCTTCGAAAAATCGGTGATGCGATTTCTAGGAGTAGAATTATCTGGCTTATGAAAAAAGAGAAATTTCGAGCATCATTGTCACACAGAATTATATGAAAACGCGGCTTAATTTTTACAATAAACTGAGAGAGTTATAAAAGCAAAATAATGGCTACCCGATAAAACGCTTCACTCATTACAGTTCCTAACGTTATGGTACTTAAACTTGAATAACTATAAAATAAATAAAATTTAGTCATACAATACTAGTATTGTCCGGTTACTTATTTCATAAAGGTTGAAAATAGCAGGTTTATAATTAAAACTAGATGTGCTACGCGGTTTATAGCCTATGTTCACCGGGGATAATGTAATTTCCAAACGGTGAAAGAATTTTTCAATCGGTTAAGTAGATTTAGATCCTATTCGATGCAAACAAATAATCGAATGTTTCATCTATCTATATAATCACTACAAAGTCGCTTTATCTGTCCCTATATCCCTTTGTATGCTTAAATATTTAAAACTACGCAACGGATTTTAATGCGGTCTTTTAATAGATAGTGTGATTGAAGAGGAAGGTATACTATAGGTACGTTTAACAACATAAAATAAATAGTGGATAAGACACCCGCAACGTTACGAGGGCATTGCCGGCCTTTTAGAGTTTGAGATTTTTAAGGATTGGGGTGGGATGGAGTAGGGCTTAGATTGGGCCTAGGGTAACCTCACTGAGATGGCGTAGCACAATGCTGTGATTGTTTCACGCCAGTTTTCTGTAAGGCCGTGTTGTAGCTCCGGTCGAGTCGTGCCAAAACTTGGCTCTCAGACGCTTTAAATATTAGTAGAGATAACAATTTAATATCTAAATAAATGTAATTTTAAAGTACAAAGATCTATACAGTTTGTAAAATAGGTACGGAAATATTGTAAATTACTAATAAATACTAAGTTAAATTGCCATGTTCAATTAGTTAGAACTGATTAAACAAGTAGGAAATAAAATGAAATGATAAGGCTTTTATTATTATTATCACCTATTACTTTATCAAGTAGGTAATAAAAGTGATTAGTTACCTAAGCAACAATACCTACTATTTATTTAATTTTATCACTTGTCAAATATTAGTTCTTACGTGTAGACGTTCGGGACCAAACCAGTTTATTCATACATTAGATAAGGTACATGTAATTCAAGATTACACTATTTTCTTGGTGTTTTACTAGTTACAATAATTATTTAAATGAATGTAATGAATGTCACTAGAAAATGTAAAAACTTATTTTACTCCAATATTAACATTTTACTGTACTACTTTACACTTGAGAGCGTTTATTGGCTCAAGTTCGTGTAAAAAAATCAACAGAAACTAATGACACCTGTTTATACATTCGGTTGCGTAATTTTCATGATATTCGACTTTATTAGAATCCAACAATTATATTTTTAGTTAGAAAACTTATGCCTCTTAACCTTTCAAACGTAGTAGTAGAACAATAGGTATACGAACGCCGGCGTTCGTGTACCGTATCGTGTGTATGGGATTTGATGAATTAAACGTGCCTATTTTCAAATAATTAAAGCCGCGAATCAAAAAGAAAAACGTAGATAGAGAAGCAAAAAATTATATTGTAAGTATAGTAACGATATCTATTTCAGTATCAAAAGCAATAAATAAAACAAAAATAACTGCTTTTAGTCCAATAGTGGACAGAAACGAACTGATGATGAAAATAATAATGTGAGACTCACCTGTAAAAGGTACTCTAAACTTATATGCAAGCACCCTGGATCCCGAAGAGCCGGCGTCGATGATAACCGCATGGTGGTAGACACTTTCGTAGCCCAAACTCTTTGCGATGCCGTCCAGCCATTGTGACTGGTTTGCAAACAGCCCTAAAACACAAAACTTCATGCTAAATACGAAGAACACAGCAACTACCTTTGTCAACATGGTTATTAAAAAAAAGAAATGTCAAATTTCCCGCGCTTTCAATTATTTTTTTTTTTTATAATAAGACTGTGATCACGACATAAGCACAATCATGTCGTATTCGAGGTTTTCCTAGCAAACGTTTGATGGATACAAAACGTCAGCACAGAATCACGAAATTAGTGCATAAATTTATTTTAAAACGACTACTGACTTATATAATTAATGTACCGTTGAAAAAGAGATTTTACACGGTTAATCTTATTGACGTACATATTATGTATGACGGGAACTAAATAAATGCTTACGGTTTGTTTGTAAAAACAATTAAGTTCTTTATAATTTTTTTTTTTTTGGCAGGTATACGGGGCATATTTCACTGTGTACTACTTAAGAAAGACACAAGTTTAACGGCAACTTGTATGAGTGTCTTTATAGTAAGCATGGGGCCGCCTATCTACGTACGAAACACTAGAATAGTTGCAAGTGCGTTGCCGGGCTTTTGCGGGATCAGGTTTTAAGGAATTGGGAATTTAGGGATAGGAAATTTCAAGGGAATCGTACGTTCGGTAATCTCACTCACAAAAAACTATTTCATCAATGAAATTTCGAACTCGATATAAATACATATTCCTACATGTTTTTTTGGAAGAAAACTACAATACGTTTATACAATTAAGTACTGGGAACATCGCGATTCTGTGACATGATACATAGTGATGTCTGAAAGTGACACACAATGCCACTACCTGTGCGGCTTTAGTATCAATAAAACTGTTTCGACGAAATAGAAACGCATATAACTTCGCATCGGCCCAGAGCAGGAGAAGGAACGGGGAGTTTTTAGTCAGTTAGAGTCTGACACTCCCTCCCGGTCTACCCTGGGAGAAAGCCATTTGATGATTTAACTCGCACAAATAAGAAAAACCTAGCTGTTTGTTACCTTAAACTCGCGTCAACTCGGGAACAGCTGGGCTAACTTCGTCTTAAAATATTCGTGTGAATCCAAGAAAGGTATTGAATATTTGTAAAGGTTGCGAAAAAAAACTGTGTTTTTTTTTTAAATTTATATAGGGAAGTATTCTCTATTCGCGTACAAAAACCGATCAAAAAGACACATACCTACTTACAGCTAAATTAAGTTTAAATTACTATTAAGTTTGAATAGGCAATTCTACTTTCTAAACTGTTATCAATCAACGAATACGGAATTATCGAATTACAATACATTTTTAACAAAAATAACTAAACTAGAATAAAGAAAATGTACAACTAACAATACATTATTGAACTTATCACTTGCTGTACACGTGTGAAACTAAAACCCACGGTAAAATCTACATTACTAATGTAATATGTATTTAAAAGTAAAAGTAATTGGGATGTTTCAAACTCGCTAAATGTATATTAAAAAAAAAATATTGTCTATGTTTTAAATTTTGGGAAATCACTTTAAGTAGAAAACGAAAACAAAACACATAACCAAATTAATCAACTGAAAATAATATTTTTTTTATATTGGCAAGTTAAAATAATGCATTTATGAGTGAGAAAACATTCCAATTTACTTACTTCAAAACTCCGAAATAACGAACTGCAAAAATAAGTATACCTGATAAAAAATAAACTGTACGCACTACGTTCGCTTTTTGAGTATTCATTTTTCACTCGTGGTACGAGCTCCGGTCTCATCGACATAATATATCTGTCTGCGGAACAAACTCTACTATAACCATTTCAATTTAAAAAATAAATATATGTAAAATTTCAATTTATATTTATTTGGGCAGGTAAATACAATCTTTGCGACATAAATGATAAAGTCGATTATCGCAAAGTTCATAAAAATACGACATTGAAATCGTATCGGTTCGTATTCGTATGGACAAAACTTGACTCTGAAACCTGTTATGATTATGTCACCCTACCTATGTATTGTGTATTTATAGAATGAATAATTATATCGTGTAAATGGCATAAAATTATTAATAATTAACATTTCCGTAAAACTCTTGGCAAAAAGAATATATGTAATTTTAAATAGTTTTGCCAAAACACGTTGACATGCCGTTTGTGTTAGTTCTGCGGTGGCGACGAAGAAGAATTTAAGACTCCTACTCGTGGTCCTCACTCCTCACATTGGTTTTTCGAAGTTTCACACACATATCATAGGCTTGTGAAGCAGGGTCCTTACCCTCTGAGCCTCGACGACAATGTTGTGTAGCAGATACCTATATATATATATCTCTACTATTGTATAATAGTATTTTAATTAGCAAATTTAATGTGGTCCTCGATAACAAAATACGACATACCCGTCCAACGCCTGATAACGATTATAAGCCTTTTATAAAAATTTACGTCTTCATAGCATGTACCTACTACAACGAGTCTCAAAAATAACAGAAAACTGGTTAACTTGCTTTAATGGTTTTATCGCCAACTATTCAAAAGCTTGAGGAGAACTGACAACTATGTTTTAACATACAGGAAAACACTATGTAGAAACATCTTAAAAATCACTTCAAAAGTGACTACTACTGGCCCGACGGATTAAGGATTGCGGATATTTAAGAATTGGGAATGGATAGAGGAGGGGCAGGGATTGCGCCTTCGGTAACAGAGGTTTTCTATAACACCGGTTTTCTGTGAGGCCTGAGTGATACCACATCACTCAGGTTGAGCCGACCCATTCGTGGAGAAATGTATAATAAATAGTTAAGGAATATGTTTAGCATTACTTTAAAAATGAACTCTGTTAGCGACACTGATTAAATTCCCTAAACAAATGAAGTTCAGAATTGCAGTCAGTCAGTCCTTCAGGAAATAAAATTTGGTAGGGAAATGGCATAAAAAGACCATTACTAGCTATCTTAGATACAAATTAGGAGCAATCTATCCGTTACCCATGTCGGCGATTAATTTCCACGTTTAAATTCACTTAACACAAGGGCATGCTCCAATGACCCTACCTGACGCAGTAATTAGTTCACCGTGCATGAAGAGAGAACAAAGAGGATGGTTATATACACATATTTATCTTGTGTACCTACCTTTTGACCATGGGTAAAGGACCAAAAACTTAGAATCAGTTTGGATGATAATTCCCACTAAATATTATAAAAAAGCATAGTGTACTATGCTTCAACACTTACTAATGAGAAAATACTACACTTGATAAATTAATCTGCAGTTAATGAAAATTAGAATGGCTTATCTTATCTTCAATAAAATCGCTACTTAAGAATGACTTCATTAAATTTAAAAATCTCCCTAACAATAAACAGAGTCATGATGAAATACATGAATAATGATGAACGGTACAAATATTACGAAAACGCTAACTTACACTGTTAGCAATTCATTTTTACGATAACGATATTTTATGTCATTCGTATTCGAAATCGATAAGGAGTTTACAATTAGTACGATGACAGTTTAATTTTTAAACATAAATATCATTGTTGCCAACGTCAATATTTCCGTGGCACATTACTACAACTGGGTGACATAACTAAACACAATGTAATGACTTTATTCAATTAAATCGCACGCTTACAAGCAATCAATTAGTAAAATGAGGGTTTTCGATACTTTTCCTGCCACCAGGCACCGCTTCATATACGTCAGGTCCAAACAGCTGTCAGATAGCACAGATTCTTACCGAACGTTTTAATATTTTAGTAAAATTTTATGTATTTTCTTTTAAAAAAAAAACGTTGCCCCACACTAGGATTTTCTCCTGTGTCGTGGGTGCGTTTACAAACATTTCACATACACATCACACCCAGGCCCGGAACAACAATTCGTGGATTACACAGAGTTGTTCCGCGCAGGAATCGAACCCGCGACACGTTGCACGGCAGCCAGTTGCCCGGCCACCTCGCCAACCGTGCAATCATTGATTTGGCTGTGTTATTGATTTTATTATGGCTACAAGCCACTGTTTTAATCTGCTTTTATATTCTGTAGGGAACTTATTTTTATTTGCACACATGGGCACTCCACAACTGCAATGTGGCATTTTGGAAAACAATACCGTATTCCGTTTATAACGTTTTTAAGAATAAATAAACCAAAAAAATTGTCGAAAAATATAAATCGCGTATGTGTTTTGAGAGGTAGTCGGACATGACGTTACAGTGCTGCCATCTCACGGGGGGAACATTTTAGAAAACCCTCATTGTGAATAATAAGTTACTAAGATGCTTAACAACCCGGGAGGATAGTGTTTTTTTATTTAAACGTTGCCCTACACTAGGATTTTCTCCTGTGTCATGGGTGCGCTTACAAACATTTCAAATTTCACATACACATCACACCCAGACCCGGAACAACAATTCGTGGATCACACAGAGTTGTTCCGCGCAGGAATCGAACCCGCGACACGTTGCGCGGCATCCGGTTGCCCAGGCACCGCGCAGGTGTGCAGTCATGATTTGTTAAATAAACGTTAAGGTTTTTGGGAGAATCACCCAACTATACACTGATAGGATGTTTTGAATATTTTAATAAATAAAGGTAAGTACAAACTACTATACCTAATGAATAACAACTATAACCACCAGTTCTTCATTTAAAGTATTTTTTTTTGACGATTTTTTATCAAATAAAATGCATGCATGTTATGGTGATATTGAAATAAAGAAACAATGAATTTACTTTTGCAAATATGCCATAAAACTACACCTTTACACGTCAATTTATATGTGAAAAACTAGATGAAGCCGGCGTTTCCTATCTGACTACTCTGAGAAGAAATGCAGTTTTGAAATTGGAATACTAAGTCATTCAATTATGATATGAAACACATAGAGGATAAAAAATAAGATTTTACTAACTGACAAAACATAATACATATAATCAGATCATTGTTTAATTAAATATTATCATTGTATTTTTGACTTTCTGGAATTGGTACAAGCTAGTTAATGTCACTTATCAATCAACAAATAATTTCAATTAAACTTTATACTGATAACTTTTTACTGATAAAACCGAAATTGTAGATGGTGTACTAGATAACTTTAATTTGTATACTTTTTCAACATTCTTATGGAGTGTTCATAAATTACATGAGATGTTTTTTTTTTATTATCTGTGCCTACCTTCCCCTTGGTGAGATTTTGTTCAACAGCTCACTTGTCCCCCAATCCCATATAAATTTTTCCGAATGTAGATTTGTTACGTAAACACACAGGATTGTTATTGCAAAAAGAAAAAACATAATTTACTTTGTATTTTTATTGATGACTAGTCAAGACTTGTAATCAATATTGCTAAGTGTTATACTTACATGTACTTAATAAAAAATTTACAATAGTAATCTATTGTAAATTTTTCCATCAGAAAAAAAAAGTGGTATTTATCGAGACCACCCTCCGTCCTACAGGTGATTGGGGAGATCTGATTCAACCCCCTGCCCCCTTCTCTTACTCAACTGATGTAATTTATGGACACTCCCTTTAATGATTTTAATGTACCTTCTATATTTTGAGCATGAACCAAATTCTGATACATGTTATGGTAAATAATAAACATAGAGTAAAAGGGTGACCATATAGATAATAAACAGGTTTGTTTTGAATTTAAGTGACTCAATTTCCTATATACCATTACAACATTGGTAAAACTCCAAGACTTTTATGGAATAAAATAAAATGAATCATGCCCATTGCATGTTTTTGATTTGGTGTGACCAAATACTTGGTGAAATAAAAAAAAAATACATATATTATATATTTTTTTTATTTAACCTAGTACAACAAGAAAAAAGTTTTCAATTTATTATTATATGTTTGTGGTGACCAATAAAACTTTAGTATTAAAATATTATTGCTCTTCATGGAAGAATAACAGAAAACATGCCTCTATGAGCTATTCAATATGTGCTAGATTGTCTGGTTAATTAGATCTTTAAAAAGTATGAGCGTATTTTGTTTTGTCAAACCTTAAATATGAGTCAAGAATTAGCATATTAAATTGTGTGTATTTATGTGTTATAAATTCACCAGTTATCAAGTCAACAAAAAAAGTGCCTATTTAACCATTGTTAAACAAATATTCAGAAAGATTGTATTCCAAATTTAACTACTTAAATAAAATAGAATGTGTACTCACCCAAAAAGTATGTGATGCATAATGCCAGTACTATGAGAAAAATAAAGAACTTCTTCAATTTCCTTGGATGCTTTATGTTCCTACTTCTAACATTGATATGCGGGGCTGAGGTATCATCTTTTAACTGAAACAGAAAATTAATTACACTTCTTACTATTACTTTTAAACATATCCACATTATTCACAATTTGTGTATGAAACAATATTTAATCAAAACTGTAAAATCACATAGAATGAAACTAGTTAACCAAAACGTAATAGAAAGTCTATAAAAATCTCACAAATTACAAAAGTAATAAACCTGTATATCGCTTAGTAACACTGCAAAGAAATCTTTGGAGTTGGCCAAAAAAAACGATTGTTGACTATTAAACAAGGAAATATTAAACCCTAAAGATACTCATTCATCAAATTCTATAATATATATCTTCCCATTGATAAAAGCTATGACAACAGGTGTGTTTTTTGTTTAATTTTCGTCTAGAATACGCACCTCTAAGTATCTGTACGTGCTGAATTTTCCCATGTTGACTTAAAATAAACATCACAACCAATAAACTAGTTAAGTCAATACGGTTTTAGCTGAAATATATTTGGCCTTGCAAGGACATTGTTAAACGTTTATGTTTTTCGAAAAGAGCACTAGAAATAACGTCACATTTAGCATTAAAAACAATTTTTTGATTGTCTGTCAGAATCAGATTGGCTCATTGACTGACTGATTGGATTGGTAATGGTATGGCAGGCAGAGGCCGACAGACAGCTGTCAACTGTCAAATAGAGTTGCATAAAAATAGTAGGTTATCTTTAATCGTAAGTATTCGCAAGCCTTATTATAATTCTTAATCGACTAATTAGGTCATCGTAAAAGTTAGTAATATTAAATAATATAATTAATAACAAGCAACAACGAACAAACAAGGCCTTTCATGTTTTTTATTTGATGAGTTGCATTAATAGAATTTTAGCCTTAATCAATAATACTACAATTCTCAAAACGGATGAATCACGTAAAGGTATTAATTTCATGTAAGGCGTTCCACTTAGGTATTTATGAAATGAAATTACTAATATTTGGGAAGACGACTATCTACACGATTATTATTATTTGGCAACACTAAGTCTGGACCGGCCCGGGCACGTATTTTATCTGTAAGTATTTCGTTGGCTCTGTTGTCCTTGGTTTGGTTATGTTTGGTACAAAAAATATTATTATGAACTGTAAAATACCTAATAAAATACTCGTGAATGTTATTTAAATTGACTGACGATCACCGACTTCTGCGGTAAAAAAATTCTAGTGTCAGTTTGTTCAAGTGTGACATTGTAACATGATAAATATAAAAATATGTAGGTACATCAATATGTTGTGTTCATAATAATAACTATTTAAGATAAGATTTTTAGAAGTTCTATTGTAGTAAACTACTATATTAAAAACCAGACAAAGCTTTTTTATATTTCGGAGTCGAAAAACTAAATCAAACGGAAATAAATTTTTCAATAGAAGGATTCCAATTTGCAACAAAAGTAAGTTTAAGTAATTTATAAATCTTTGTACAAAAAACAAATATATTATAATTAGTTTGCTGTAGCAAAAGAAAGAAACTAGCTTTAAATGTTGAAAAGTATACTTAACCTCATCACATCACATATTCAATATTAGAAAAAGTATTGTAACTGGAAACCAATACGTACTTGATTCTCTAAATCGATGAATGTGTACATAAAATTAAATGTAATACTAAAGTTCAACTCACCTTTCTTTGGCGTATCTGCATTTTTTATTTTAATCAAACCACTTCAGCAAACACTAATTAATTTTAAAAGTTCCGGTAGGTAACTATTAATTTTAACTATTTAATACAAACAGTTCACCTTCTTAGACACCGCATTAACTAATTGTAGTATTTGAATTAACTTTACATAAGTTTATCAAAAGTAATAATTATCGTAACCTTGATATATTACGTATGTACGTATTTATATTGTATTCACAAGTACATAACAGACGTGCGCATCACATAACGCCACAGACTATACAAGCGTATAAAATACAAATAGACAATTTGGTTGGACAAGTGAGTAACTAGCAATGATGATTGCGCGTCATTGGCGGCACTTTATAACGGGCGAGTTTATCGTTAATTTATCATGACTTTGTACTTTTCTTAGTTTAGAATGAGATTATCGTGAAGTAGGTAGCCGTCTAGTAACGTTCCAATACAAACGTAACGCTGATAAGATTGGCCATCAGATATGCAACCAGTTGATAAGTAGAGAAAATAAATTATTTTGACCTTTTATAACTATCAACTCGATTGAGGAACTGGGGAGAGTTGAAGATATTATATCTAGTTTTATGAAGATACATACATCATACATTGCATTTCAGTGCAGTGTAATTTAGATGAACATATATTTACCTAAATGTCCATGAACTTAAAATGAAGTCGGTTAATTAACGTGAGAAATCAAAATTAGCCATTGTATTTTAATTTAGAATTTGCATCTGAACAAAATCAGTATTATATATTTTTTGTTTTGTTTTGAACCGTTTTAATGTACATTAATAAATGATTAAATGTTATCTGATCATTCTAAAAAATCTCGCAAAAAGCAAGAAATTGATGTAGAACAAGAAACAAATTTGACCTTGACTTACCTAGTTATTTTGTAAGTTATATTTTAATTTATCTACCCTACTTAAGTAAATAATTTGTTTAACTTATAGATCGGTCGACATGAAGTACCTATGCATGAACGACATTGACACGGTTATGTTCAAACCATCTGTTTTATTAATATAATTATGTAATCTATCCATACCTGTCAATATTCCTATTATTTTTTAGCGTTTCGTAATTATTTGTTTAGTACTGATGCAATAAGATGTAAGAACATTGTGTATTGTGTGATACTAATCCCAAAAATGACGCAATAAATTGATCTTTTTTATAGGCAAGGTGTTTTTGTATTAATTTATACTTCCTAGTCATACACCACGCAATAATCTAAAAAAATGGTGGTGTTTTTTACAATTTTCACCAACGCAACGGTATGATAGACCTTCCGATTATAGTAAGTACCTAATTATGAATAGCAAGTAGCAACGAATCGACACGACGAAGCTATACGTGAATATTGGTAACCTTGACATTCAGTAAAAAAAGAAACCAGCTAGCTAATTATATCACATCATTATAATGGTGCCATGACATGATAGTTTCGTTTTAGACAAAAATCTAAGCATACCCACTCACTAAAAAAGTTCCCATACCTATAATTATCAAGTAATCATACTTTATCCAAGATGCTGTAGTACTTACACTACTTACTTCAGGCACTCCAGGTCCCAACATGTCATCATGTTTGCTAAACGTAGTTATAATTTTATCTATATTATCAATGTACATAATTAATCATTTATTATTTTATCTTTTATTGTTACACGAGTCTGATCGGTTCCCGCCAAAACAACATTCGTTACCTATACATTTGTCCTAAATGTAGCAATGTATAGCAACAATTCACCATCACCGCTCCTATTTTTTTTTACTGTATAAGTGGCCAACAAGCGTAGGTACGCTTGGGTAGTTAGATTAGCAACACAATATTTTTATAAAGGCTAGGCAGAGACAATGAGCCCCTCCCTCGTATGTTGTTATAAAAACGATGTACGTAGTTTTATAATACTTACCTGCCCATAAAGTAGATTTTGTAATTACTCGTAATATTAGCGAATTTTGTAGTGACTACTTGACTAGCGTCACTGCTTCTCTTTTGTCTACCGAAGTTCAAAATTTTCCACTAAGATATCAAAACAAGACAGTTATTAAAAACACACATTATGGGAGAGCAAATGTTGTGATTTTTAAGTATTCGACAAGATAGACGAAAGTTTTCCATAAGTTCGTTCTTATGGCCCTTTGATCCAATTAAACTAGGGACTTTAGTCCTGACTCAAGACTTGATATTCCGAGTCAGACATGTTCTAATACTAATAAAGACAAAATCTTCCCATTTTTCATCATTTATGCTTTTGTTACTCCCATAAAACTTGTCCTTATCTTACGAATCATTTTCATCTAGGTCAGCTTAAACGAAGGTGACTACGAAGGTACAAACAAGAACTGAATAAAAACTGCATGTGTACCTTCCTTTTACTAAACATTAATGACTCTGTGAAATCTATTTCCTTCATGCCGAAATTACAATTTATAGGCAGGTTGTGTTGTAAACAACGCGTATAGAACAGTTCAAACGCCATTGCGATGTTTGTTTGTTTAGGCGGGAAATCATTAAATTACTTCTCCCGCTTTGGGTCGGGGCAGAGGAATCAGATTCTTACTGACTAAAACCCACCCTGTTCCTTATGCTGCTCCAGGCCGAGGTTGTGGTACATTCGGCTGGCTTATTCGCCTTGGCCTTGCTTATTTTTCTTAATTCGTCAAACCCCAAGAGAACCGAAAGGTCTAAGGAATAATGTGAGCAAACAAGTATGCTACAACAAGGTGAAGTTTACTTTAATAACAGATGTTTTATTAATTATCTTTTCAGAATGGAGGTCGATCATAGTTTGCTCGATAAATTAAAACTATACGGAGTCGGCCAACGTAAACTGGATGATGTTCTTTTTGTGAACGATAAACCACCTCCCAGACTCGGCATATACGACTTTGACGAAGAAGTCTTCTGCCATGACTTGTAAGTATTTAATAATGCATTATAATTATCCTATGATACGACCTTCTCTACATAGGTGGTGTTTGGTAGGCTGCCTGAAGATCTAACACCCGGTTTCTGAAAGGCTTGAAAAAGCTAAAATTAACTAATCTCCTGTTAAATCTCTTGTCAAGTGATCCGATAGGTTGTTGATAATTCAGTCAACCAATCAGATGACTTGACAAAGGATTAAATTGATTTTAACATTGATCGGCGTTTCGGAATCCAGGGGTGCCTAAGTCTGCCTAAAGAGCAAGAGATCATAACAAAAATTTACGTTAACTAAAATAGGTTAGATTTTTTTATTCAATACATAAGCAGGAACATCGATATAATTTTATACTCACATGACATGCAATAAAAAACAAGGCCACCCACGACTCGAGTCGTGATAATAATTTGCCATATTATGTAACGTGCTATAATGGCAATGATACTGGAGACAACCCTGTTATAAGTACTATTAGGTACTACGTACGTATGGTAGGAGCCCACGAAACGATTTTGGTAGTAACTCGAGCGCGTCAGATAAACATTATGGGCAATATTTAGTATCATGTTGAGTCTGCCTATCATATACTTTTGTTAGTGGAATATAATTATATAAATGACCTCTCTCGCCCAGGGCGAGACGACAGCGAGTGTCAGACTCTTTCTAAATAAAAATTAAAAACTCTTCCCGTTCCTTCTCCTTCTCTTGGCCGAGACTGCGGTATCGTATTGCTCTTGCTCCACAACCCCAACTGAACATCGGTTCTGTAGGGTCTGTGTTGGTCTATTGGCTCTTATCGTATACTTAATGATAAAATTCCATCATTAACTATCACATTTACATGGGTAACTATATATCACGCTCGAGCTTTAACACAAAAGGTACATTACCTATACTTAAAAAAAATGTTGTTTATAACAACAATTTTTTTTTATATATACGGTAATATACGGTAGTTTCCAACTAGTCAAATTCAATACGTTTATTCAAATGTCAAAAACGATGCTTTTATATGCAATTTGCATGAAACTCCAACTGACGTCGATGATATGACGTCATAGTATTTTAGCGTCAAATAGCTTCCTTGTTTCTTAAATATTAGCTAAAACATCGAAAATTTTGTGTACCTATAGATACATAGATGAATAAAAGTATAGTTAATTTTCAATGCTTTATTGTATTGAAACGTCGAATTAATTTATTTTTTACCTAGGAAACTCAGTCTGTAAACTGTGTTCATTGTGTTCGTTTGAGATCCAGTTTTATAATTTTCGTGCTGTAGTTATGTAACTAATAATGTCTCAAGGTCATAGTAAATATGAAAACAAAACGAATTAATCGGTTATTGCCTCTTATACCTGATTCTAAAAATAGTATTATGGCTCAAACGTATTGCCGAAATTGTAAGTAGATTGTTTTGTTTTTCTCTCATTTGTTTTTCTGAAGCTACTGTAAAAAAAATACAATAGATTATCTAAATAAATAGTAACTGGTTACCATGATATTTACTTCCTGAAAACTCGTTTGTCTTTATAAAAAACATAAGTGTGGGTAGTCCATGGTTGCATCGGTACCAAAGGGCCGGCTCGACAGAAAAACCAACGAGAAACAACTCCTACTTTTTTCTTGTGTATGTAAGGTTAGGGAGACCCAGTCTTTTCCCCAATCCCCCATCCTGAAATCCTTTAACGACCTCCAAAAGGACGGTATCTGTACCGTGATCTGTACTGTACAGGTACACTGTAATTAGGTAGTTTCATAGATTAACAAACATTAATTAGACATTCATTTCAAGATTTCACAATACAATAAAATATTGAAAAATGAATATAGGTACCTACTTTTTTTCATTGATCTGTCGATACCTACATAACATTTTCGATAACTTAGCTATTTTTTAGGGAATAAATACTTAAGCTATTTAACGCAGAAATACTATGTCGTCATCATTTGGAGTTTTATAAAAAAATCATAGAAAATTAACCATTGTTAGTGACATTTGGATAAAAGTATTGAATTTGAGTAGTTGTAAACAATCATACTCATAGACTGCGCCGATTGCTCACTATCAGATACTCCTGCTGTCTGCTTTTTTGGTGTGACAAACGAACAGACGAATCGAATAAAATAATTCACTTTCATTTAATTAAAATATTTAAATCACTTTTATAATAATAATAAGCCCCAATGGATTTCGATTTGGCGCGGTGGCTGGGCAACTTGCTGCCTCGCAACGTGTCACGGTTTTGATTTTCTCACGGATCAACTCTTTGTGTGATCCACTTGTAATCCCACCCACGACACAAGGTTAAATCATATTGTGGGGCAACGTTTTCAAGAAAACAACTCCTTTCAAATATATAAAAGAACTTAATCGATTAAGCTATTTATTTTGTCTATTTTTCAGGGTAATATCAACATGCACCATCCCCGGATGTTCATTCAAAACGGAAACTTTATTGGATTTTGAGAACCACTACAATGACGCCCATAGGTACAGCTGTGCACAATGCAAAAAGATTCTACCGACTCCTCACTTGCTGGACTTGCACATTCAAGAAACACACGACTCCTTTTTTGCTGTGCTATCCGAGAAAAAGCCTTCGGTAAGACCGTGTTCTTTGACATAATTTGGGTCATTAAAAAGGACGAAATTACCTCTAATAAAAACATTACTGAATGTAGATGTTAATGAAGCGAAAGAGAGGTCCATTATCTAATAGGATACCTGATTGCTTAGAGCTAATTTGTCAAAAAACGTGCCAATCGCGTTTATGTAACCTAATTACATAAACGCGATTGGCACGTTTATGACGATCGGCGATTTGATTGGCCTGCTCCCAAGCTCCCTGCTAACCAATCAGAGGGCGAAACGTAATAACGTTCAGATTGCGTAAAACCAATTTGCACTAGACACCGGCTTGTTGGACGACATGTACGCATTTGTGTTTTAACAGTATTTACTAAGAAGTTAAAGTTTTTAATTCACGCCTAACGGTAGCAAAATGTCAAAGTCGCTAGACCGATACCAATTTATAACAATGGCTAACTGTACCTAATTTGATTGCAACACTGATTGCAAGACTTTACGCGCTAGTGACGCGATCCGATGAGTGAAAATACCTACTTAGTTTTCTTAAATATTAATTGTATTATTTCACAGTATTCCTGCTACATTCAAGAATGTCCACTGAAGTTTATGACTGCTAATGACAGATTACAACATTGCGTCGACGAACACAAGTTACCTAAGGAATTCCGGTTTGATACAAAACCGTGTCACAAGGGTAAGAAAAAAGGGAAATCGAAACACAGTACTGACAATAACGATCAGTCGATGGAACACGACGGTGAGAGCTCAGGGAACATAAAAAAGAAAGTTGTACTAACCACGAGTAAAAACAGGACATTTGCAAAATACTGCGGCAAAAAATTCACGAAAAATGACACTAAAACGTCTAAAGATGTCAACATGGATGAAGTAATGGCCGATTTGAAGGAAAGTTTACCAGAATAAAAGAAGTAAATAATGTTTCAACGTTTTATTGTAAGCCCGCAAACATTCTACGATAAATATTTTTAAGTGGTAACCACTAGATGGCATTCTGGCATACATCCAAAAGAATCTCTTTGATTCAGTAGTTTTTGTAGCATTAATTAGAGATTCCTTAACATATTATTTCTTAGAATAATAAATTGAATTAAAATTGTCCATATATTCTGTACATTAGATTCTATATAACAATCTCAACAGGCATAATTTTGAATGACTATAACAAAATAAATAAACTTATTTAACTTAAATTTACTTGGCCTTGCCTTGGTTGGCAACAGATTCCATTGCTTTCTTTACAGTTTCTTCGTCGCCAAGGAAGACCATGGAGTCAACTGGTTTCATGTCCTCATCCAATTCGTAGACAAAAGGAATACCAGTTGGGAGGTTCAATTCCATGATAGCCTCATCACTAAGACCTGAAAATAAAATAAATTATATTTAGTTGGTGGCTTAGATTGTGTAGGCAAATCAGTCACTTTATAACGGACTTCAAAAATGGAGAAGGATCTGAATTTATTCAGCTATATTTTAAAAGAAGTATTTTATACAACATACCATCTAAATGCTTCACAATACCCCTGAGACTGTTGCCGTGAGCAGCAATAATAATCCTCTTGCCAGCTTTGATCTAAAAACATTTCAATATACTTTATCTGTAGGTATTTTATCATAAATTTTTGTGTCATAAATTAAGAAAAACAGCAAACATATATTATTTTATCATATCAAGAGCTTTTGTGTGCCAAGTTTTTTATGGTAAAGTATTTAATAATTCTTTCAGCCTAACTGTCATATGGAACCTTTGCCCAGTTTTCCTGTTCCATTTACCAGATCAAGAAAAAAAAATGTTTTCCGTAATAGCATGAAGTCAAAATAGCACCAGTAGGTATATGACTAAAAACTCAAATCATCTTTTATAGCAACAAATCAGCTGATAGTAATGATGACTGATGTATAACAAAAAAGCAGTTACCGGCCTTTAGTGATTAGAGGGCAGGTAAAAGTGGAGGTTTGGGCATTCAGTTACCTCACTCATACTGCCGAGCAGCATACAATGTATAGATAAAAAGCTATATGCTATGTAACAAGTTTATCAATGCAAAACCTACCTGTGGTACAATAACATTATTCCAGTAGGGTAGTGCTCTCTCAATAGTCAGCTTCAAGCTCTCATGGCTGGGGAATTCATCCTTCTTTGGCTCCTCAGCATAGCGAGGATCATTCACAATTGTTTCATAATACGGATGGTCCTTCTCCATAGGTGGTGGGGGTACGTCAAAACTACGGCGCCATATGTGGATCTGTGAAATAAATATTAAAATTTAAATTTACTTTTCATTACTTCTTACTTCGGTTTTGTGTACCAATAATTTATTTTACTTCAAGATTATAGTGCATATTTGTAGTGTAGCATTTTGAAGCCTATTAGCCTTCTACAACAAATGAGCTAACAACCACGAAGTAATAAATTATTCAGTAGTTCCATAGATTACCGTGCTAATATTAATATTCTGCAGTTTTATAATATTATTACAGATAGGTTATAGTTTTTTTTTTGTGTTTCCAAGTTACTTGCACAAGATAGGAGGCAATATGATAAAGAAGAAATGAAGCACAACATCTTTAATTGCTTTTATGTAACAGTAGCAAAACTATTCACTAAAAAAATAGATAATTGTGGCAACTATTTAACAAAATTGTAAGGCCAAAAAACACTTCATATTTTTAGGTCAAATAAAGGACTACTACAGTAGTGACTCTTACACAGGATTAGTGTATCTGTGACTTATAGCTTAATTTAACCTCTTTTCTAGTATAGGGAAAGTAGTAGAAGGTTCATTGTAATGTCAAATGAATTAAATACCTGAGCTTCACCATACTTGGCAGCAGTCTCAGCTTTGTTAAGACCAGTGAGACCACCGTAGTGCCTCTCGTTCAGGCGCCAGGTCTTCTCAATAGGTATATCGGTCTGGCCGATCTCTTGTAAGATAGTATTTAAAGTGATTTGAGCGCGTTTCAGCATCGAAGTATAAGCGATGTCAAATTGATAGCCTTCAGACTTCAAAGCTTTTCCAGCAGCACTAGCTTCTTCACGTCCTATTATATATATAGATAGGCATGAATTAGTATTTTCCCAAGACGAAGTAGTTACCTATCGGAAGTGTAATGTAAATTATAACTTACCCTTGTCACTTAGGTCAGAGTCGAACCATCCGCAGAAAAGGTTTTTCTTGTTCCATTCACTTTCGCCATGGCGAATCATTACAACTTTGTATTTTCCAGGCATATTGAATAATTTGAACTTTTATGCCGGCGAAAATTTCTGAAATCAACACCTTCGCTTCGGTTTTCTTCTGACGTAAATAACCTGAATGACCTCTAATCAAAGTCAAAATTATCAATACCTTTTTTTTGAGTTTATGGCCTGGATACAAGTTCTTTAAGCCAAATATCTATACCTAACCCTCTGGTTCCACAGATAAGCCAGAACAGGTTTATGGTAAAATCGACTAAAGAAAACAAGCAGGTGCAGCACTAGGCAATTTTCGATCCCCAAGTGCGGACTGGTTTGACTTGTTTTTTAATTTTTAATAATCTGTTCCGATTTCATTTCACTGTTTTGCATTTCGGCGCAGTGTAGCAGAGACAATTTTTTCTGTTAAATGATAACCTTAATTTTTGGATCAAAATAATACGGAAAATAAACTTCTTTAATAGATTGCGAAAAGAAAGTAGCTTCATAAATCATAACCTCAGGATACGAATAACTCGTATCAACCGAAGACCATTTTATGTACCTAAAGTTTTCATCATTTCACCAAAATGTCACCTAAGAAAAGTGTTAAAAAACAACAATCTAAAAGAAACAGTACAGAAAAGCAACCAAATAAGAGAGAAAAACCTAAATTCAATATGCCTACCAATATTAAAGTTAGTATACCTCTAAGAAAGAAAATTGGGAACTCAGGTGAGTGAACAGTTTGCCTAGTCTGCAGAAATAAGCTTGCTTGAACAGTCTCACATTTCTTGGAAAAATTCTAAGACCTAATAACATTTGTGTTAAAATGATTATAACCTTGAAACTAAGATTTCGATATGAAATTTATTGCTAAAGTTTTTCTCATTAGTTATAAATACACATATAATATCATCATCATCATCATCATCGTGATACTTAAATAAATACACTAAACATTGTTTGAAAAACCATCAGTTTTACTTCGAATTAAATTGTTGCCAAGCAAGTAATTATTATTCAACACATACCTAAACAATAGTACACTTAATATTTTTTTTTTCCTGTAAGATCAATGAAGACGCAAATAAATACTTTTTGTTTGTTTGTTTTGTTTGAAGAATTAGATATTTTGAACATGCAAATCTCCCAAACCACCAAAAATGTTTTTTGTTGGACAGTCAATTTATTAAGGAAACCATGCTACGGCTTGAAGTTATACAGCCTGTAGACTTCCTGCAATAACAGCAGAGTGGCGAATGAAACCCAAAAAACTAGTCTTTTATAACTGTAAACGCAATATTGCTAATATTTTACAGATGAAGGAATTCATTTCCCAATTGTGCGAGGGAAGCGTCCTCCTCAGTTCAAGAAACAATTGGACACAAAAACTCAAATAGATCTGGCAAACACAGGTAATTATCCTGTTGTTATTTATTTATTATTGTGTAAAATTATAGAAAAAAAAAACAAAACAGGTTTTCAAAGTGAAAGTCAAATCATTTAATTCAATAAGACTGTTAAAAGAATACTAAAAGTGTTAACCTACTTGCTCATTCCAAGTGCAGATTTCCCAAAAACCTCAAAAGTTACTTAATAGATAAAATCAACTAACTATAATTGGAAAAGGAAAGTCTGAAAGTAACTGCATGTGAAAATGTTGTTTTTATTGCATTAATTAACCACTCTGTAAGCCTGCTCTTAATAGAAATTTAATAAAGTGTACAATAAAATAAGTATATATTAATAAATAAAAACATCTATCTACACTTTGGAATAAGCAACTAGCTTCACTGAAGGACCAACAGACTATTGTAGCTTTTTGTTCAAAAAGTCAGAAATAAATGTGGAATTTGGTGCTTAGTACCAATAAAAACTGTTTAGACGCCAGTTGCTTCCGTTTGTGGTGCTTGCAAAACGCAACATGCTACAACAAACCAAAGCTGCATGCAACATGCAGCTTTGGTTTTGTTCCGGTCTGGCCGTAAACTATCCTTCCTCGTCACTCGCAGACCCGCGTTAATGGAGTTCTGAGGTTTTGTAATAGGAAACAATATCATACTATTTTACTATTTAAAACAAACCCATGTTATTTATTCCAGTTGCAAGACAACAACTGATTAAAGAAGAACCACCGACATTTCAATTAGATAATATAGTCATTATTCAAAATCCAAAAACAAAAGGAAGAAAAAGGAAAATAACTGACTTTTTTGATAAAGATGTAGCCATGGATCCTTCGGATAATAATGCAGGTTTGTTATCTTTTATGTCTTGATGTTGGTAGATGGTTTACATTCCGCTTTCGCCAGTTATCTAATAAATGTAGTATTCCTAATCTCTAGCCTGTACCCCTATCAAGCATTTTACCAAATTCCATGAGGCAGAAATCGAAAGATTCACAAATTGTATAACACTTTAACCACCTGTACAAGTGTAGAATTGATTTCGTAACATTTAAATGGTGTATATATAAAGTGTATTATTTGTTTTACAGAAAATGTTGTATCATCAACAGATACCAAATCTCAAAAAACGGAAAAGAAAGTACCTGCCAAACCAACAATCACAAGACGAATTGGTAACTATTTATCTCTAAAATTATAATTATCACCAATTTTAGCGTTTTCTTTAATTAACAAAATTTCGTTTACAGTTACTAGAAAAAGATTGGCTGACTCAACAGCCAATAGTCAGCAGACAACTCCGAAAAAATCAAAATTAGATGTTAAAGCACAGAAAATTGACATAAAACCAGAAAAACCTAATGTTGATGATAAGGAGATTGTAGTACCTGACAGTAATCCAATAGTAGAACAGCAGGATAAACCTGCACCGAAGAGAACTAAACCTGGTTTGAAACTACTGCGGTCTAGAGCAAACAACCCTGCTCCAAAGTGCCGTGCAGCGCTAAGGCGAGGACCCAAAGGTAAGCAAGAAATCGCAGTCCCTGCTAATAAAGCACCGCCTATACCTGACCAAACCAAAAAAATGACAAAAAAAGATACTCAAAATGAAAATGTCCATCAATACAACTCGGCTCCTATAGACTCCAGAAAGACGTCCGTCAGCAGTTGCTCTAACTTATCGTGGACTAAAGATATATCTAGTTCGAGCAACACAACGTGTATAACGGCGTGTTCAAATGATTTTGTCCGTATCAATAAGAAGTTACCGATGTTAGTCCTCAAAAATATTGATAATGAGTTGAAAGACAAACAAGTAAGTAAGATACAGCTGAAGAACCATACGGAGCCGATCGCACCGGCTGCTGTAACTGACTCTGATGATTCATCATCAGACTCGTCTGATTCTGATAGTTCAGACAGCGAGTCAAACGATTCTGAATCCATAAATGATATAATAGACGCTAATTCTTTACATCTAAGCACCTCTTCTCAGCCTAGTGGCCACATCCCAGAATACAGCGATAAACAAAATGCCCAAGATTATACTAAAATAAGCGATACACTAATTATGTTAGTTGACAAGTTAGATATGGAAATAATAAATTGGATCAGTTCGGAAAACGAACCGATCAATGCAAACCTTGACAAATTCAAAGATAAAATGTTCGATATTTTGGACAATGAATTTGGTGTCATAACACATTGTAGTCGTCTCAAACGTATACTAGATCCTGATTATTCTGAAGATGCTGCAGTCGCATGCATCCCTAAAATAGTTGAAAGTGCACCCGTTGAAAACGTAACCGTTCAGCGAGATACGCAACCAGCTCCATCTAAAGAAAGCACCAAGGCACCTGAAAAAGACTTGGTGGAACGTAGAGCTCTTAGAAAATTATCAATTAATCTTGAGAACTATGCTTCGAATGCGAATGCTAAAGTTCCGAGAGATGATTATTTGGAAAGCGAAATTCAAGCAGGCACCGCAAGGAATAACTCTGCCTATGATCATCACGATGATGACGATGCACTGTCTTTATTCGCTGAAAGTATAACGGGTTTCGAATCTTCTAGAATGAATGCGTCAATTGTTTCGTTCCCCGCTTACAAAGCGCGCCCCGTCGAGGAGTACATTCCGAAACCTGTTACTGAAATCTCCACCCCAAACGTAGAAAGGCATACTTACCTCCCGACCAAAATAGCCGACGCTGAAGTAACAGCATCTAAGATAGCATCCGTTATTGAAAAACAAAACGCTGATTCAACGTCTATTTATAAACAAAGTAACAGCACAGACGACGCTGAGAGTTACGAAGATTTAAGTGAGAACGTAGAATTAAACCCAAAGGTTGGTCCACCTGATGTGGAAAAGACACCGCGTCTTATGGATAGTATCATTGAAAGAACGCCACGAGCGCGGAGTATTGTGTTCTCCAACTTATGTTTTTATAACTTACTAAACTGCTGCCGAAAAGTATATTCGGGCCAATGTCGATTTTTGCACGTGATACCTACCTGCGAGCAGGTTAAGGCGAAGCTCGGTCTGTTAGACGAGAGGTTGTTGATACAAGAGTACATGTTACTAAGGAACTGGACGGAGATCAGGAGGAGATTCGGCCTTTGCTACGTCGAGGAGTGTGCGAAACGTGGTCTCACTCGGATACTTGTTGAAATGGCTTACGATTTCATCGTAAAAGCTAGAAATGATTCTGAGGAAGACGCGCAGATTAGAGTTAATACTATAGAAATAACTTTGTTGCATTTGAACACTGTTGACTTGTGTATATGTGAGGATTTGTTGAAAATGCCCGTGCACACAGAACAGGGCAACAGGATACTGCTCTGCGACGTGTTCATGGCTACAATGTCTATAACGCAAAACTTTTCACGGTTTAAAATAGTGTTTTTAACTCTTACTTACTTCATGGTGGATAACGACAGGACGTTTAACAAGGAGGTGGTCGAGCATATCTTGGAGCGCGTGTGTATATTGCCGTTCGAAGAGCCGATAGCTAAGGCCTTGATACAGATGATGCGGTTGACGAACGGTGCTATTTTTAGCAACTCGATGATAGGGATGTTTGAGAAGCAAATATCGGTAAACAAGGATGTGCTGGAAGAGTTCATGTTGCTGAAGAGCCAGTATGCGTTTTCGTCAATGCTGGCGTCATCGATGATAGAGGAGTGCTCGCAGCTAAAGGTGGACCAGGCGCAGTCAGTGCAGTCGGACGCGGGCGACGGACAGCCGCCGGCTGCGTCGCCAGATACCACCAACATTAGCAACCTGGTGAGTCCTTATACTCATTATGTAGGTAGTAATAAAGAATTATCTGCAGGGAATATTACTAGATCTTGTATCTATTATGCGTAATTTATTAATTTTTTATATATAAATTGTCCTTATATACAGAAATTAGAATAAACAAGTTAATCTTGAATTATTAGTAAATATGTTTTTGAATAATCAATAGTATTTATACTTAGTAAAGCGGCAAATTGCATTAAATATACGTGACCATGAATTAATAATGATTTTAGCACAACCCGCCGTCTGAAGAGCCTCCAGTACCCATAATAACAAGGACTATAGGGATGGGCCCACCGATAACGTTCAGCCACTCTCCAACGAAGTCGGGTTCATCACATGTTCAAGAGAGCCCCGGGGGCTCGCGTTTTAACTCTAGTTTTGTGTCGCCTAGCAACAAAAACACAAATAATATGAAACATTGGCGGGATCGGTCGATATTTGACAATATCTTGCGTCCCCCGACAACCACGCCGCGCTCGCATATGATGCGTCCGCCGATGCTTCCCCAAATGAGACCCCGGCCGCGTCCTCACTTTAACCAGCGGCTGGTGACTTTCAGGAGCCCTTCTGTATGTATACTTGATTTTGTAACTCCTGCTGGATAGATGGTGAATTACAAAATGAATAATAATCTATTTATAAACTTACTTTTCTGACTAACGATGTGTTTCACAATTTCTGAATGACCGCTGTGTAATAGATACATTTTTAACAGTATGGTGCCTCATAAATTAATACTAAGATGGTGAAAGACGCGCTTAACTTTATAGAAAAATCGTTCATTTAATTCTATAACGCGTAAACCGCAACAAAATACTTACATAGATTTTTGCCAGTTGTGTTCAGAGTCCTTTGACCAGAACATAGTCCAATGACCATACAATAAAATATCCAACCAAACTACATGATATGAAATATTTGAAAGAGATGGATGTTGTTGTAAAGAGTTAAACGGTCAATGGTGGATGCAAAAGAGTAGTTTTCAACTAGTCAAATTCGTTACTTTTTCAAAGAGGATAATAAAGACAATTTTCTATGAATTTTTTTATCAGGCACGTCAATTTTTTTTTAAACATGAATACTCAGTATGTTGTAAAATTAAAAAATGAAGGTGCTTTTATTTTTGTTGAATATACAATGAAATAATTTAATTTTGACTGATGATACTAAGTATTCAAGTGTGACAATATATATTAGGTGGCAATTCATGGCTGTGTTCATATATTACCTTGGCTGTAAGAAAGTGAATGCAAGAGTGAGTAGAAATGGCATGAAAGTAGAAAGAATAAGCCAGCAATAGATGTACCATCCTAGATAATGATGTGTAGTGTCACTGATACTATGTGGTATAATTTAAGGTAAACAACCAAAATTATAACAACAAGTTACTAATGCTAATAAAATTCCTTTCAGAGATATGTGAACAGACAACCTGGACCCAAGTACTGAAAATCCTCACCAAAGTAAGTAATTTAAGTTTTCAGTGTAAAAATAGTTTAAAGAAATACCTAAACTACCTACAATGTTGTAATTGTAGGTATTCAAGCCTTACTCTTTACCTAGCAGGTATTGTTAATATAGTGTAGTCAAGTAGATGTATAAATAAAATAATAAAACTGGTTTATATTGCAAAAATTCAAGTAACAAAACTTATTTTGGCTGTAAGAGTGAGTTTTTTTTTTGTTTTGTTTTTAATGGAGGACGGAATCTTTTCCATAGACACTTTTAACATTGTGAAATGCCAGGTATTGACTGTTTTTTTTCTGTCTTTAATTATTTGACTGTGTCACTAAAATTGCTAGTTATAAAATATGTTTTTGTTATATTTGTGATATTTGCCTGTGACTTGTTGTATAACAGTTCAGTTATTTGATGACTTTGTCATTGAAAAATGATGTAAAAACAAATACTTACCAAGTTGTTTACTAACTTTTTTATCTAACATCATGACCTAGTTGATAAGTTTAAAATTCTTTTGTTGCCATTCATTAAAAATGTATGAATAAGTGTTATAATATAAAAAAAATGTAAAAAATTTAACTTTAGTTAGCAAAATAAATTGCAACTGGACACAATATTACGTTTAGCAATGTTTTATTTGTTACTTACATATCAAGAACAACTTTATGCCTACATATGTATTTACATAAATTTTCACCTTGCCGTAAAACCATGTTCAGATTGAGATTATTTAAATTGAGAAACCTGAAAATACTTTGTTCGACTCACTCTCTCGCTCAGCAGCTAGGTACGGTTGTAACCACTGAATAACAAAGGGATTATATCTTAATCCTACTACTGCAACTTTGTAAGCTATGAACTACAGTAAATACAACTATGAAAACTCCGAGTCAATAGAGTCCGGGGCGTCCCAGGGACAAGAACAACTTGACGGCGCGGTTAGCGCAGAGGCTGGATAACTAGCTGCTGCTGCTCCGATTCCCGCAAGGAACAACAGTTTTGTACAATTAATTTAGAAAAAATCATAAATCCTTATGATTGCAACTTTATATATGATTGTATTTTCATTTATGAGAAAAATCATTCGGTTTAATAGGGTGCAGACATTTTAAGACTTTTAACTAATGATTTTTTGGATTTCAAAAATAAAAAATCATCATTAAATCTTTTTGGTGCTGTCGAAAAAACTAAGTTAATCACATCACATAGTATCATACAAAGTAGCTTTCTCCGTCCCTATGCTTAAATCTTTAGAACTTGTAACGGATTTTGATGCGGTTATTTTGAATAGACAGGGTGATCGAAGAGGAAGATTTACATATAATGTATAATAACATCCTTAAATATTGGAAAAAAATACGTATCAGCATTGAAGCTGGGAGAAGCCGTGGCGGGTTGCTTGAGTAATGAACCTCGATGAAGCTGCTGAGCGAGATGATAACAATTCCTCGATAATACAAAGTATTATTATCGTTTTTAAAAATCGTGCGCGTTGTATGGCGTTAGATTCACCCCCTTACTACTTGAAACTCAAAATTAGCTGGACCTAGATATTGACTAAAAAATCTGACAACGTGGTTATATATCACCATGTAAAATTTCTTATTTATTAAAAAATAAAAAAATTGACATTTGCAGTACCTTCTTTAATTTGACTAGCGGGAAAACAGATTTAGATAAGGTGTTACCCGTGCAAAAAATTAAATTATGGAACGTCATGATTTTAAATTCACACAAATTTTTTCCTTACACTCAATATTTTATGAAACGTATAAATGTCTGACACGAATTTTGCTGGTACTAAAAATTCACGATGGTCCCTACGTTGATTTCAAATACTCTCCTGGACTTGCAAATATGTGAAGAAGTGGCAACCAGTCCTCATAAGGACTGAGATCTTAATTTTTTGTTTATGTAGTCATCTCTTAGAGCGAAATAAAAAATACGTGTCTAAAATATTTTTTTATATTGTAACTGACGGTCTGATGGCATATTTTAATGTACGAGATTGACTGCTAAGGAATTTGGCATATTTTCTAAGGAACTTACAGTAATTAGCCACATCCACGGATGAGTTATCTATTGGATTATTTCTTTCATTGTCTATAGACCTACAGTTACAACCTTTATAACTAAGCTTACTAAGACTGAAGGCAGACAGCCTAGATAGGTGAACCACTCGCATATATCAGTTTAACTGAAATATCATGAAAACATTTGCCACATAGCTATTTAAAGCTTAAATCAAAGTACAATGTGATGTAAACGTAAATTAGGCTTGTACCTAATTATAAATCTAGCTAAGTACTCGTTTATTAAGTTTAAAGCTGTGAAAATATTTTTAAATAAATACCTATATACTAAGTCGTTCTGGATTTCTTTGTTTTATTTCATGCCATTGACCTTAATGTTCGATGTTGCCAGATGTAACTAATAGGGATGTTCTGGATATGAAATTTCGGATACGGATTGGATACGGATATGAGATGATTATTATACTGGATACGGTTACGGATACGGATATGAAATTATTTCGGATTATCCATTAGTTTCGGATAATTTCGGTACGGATATTAAAATTTTAAGCAAAATCAAAAGTAAAAATTTAAACATAACGTGTCTCAATTAGGCTCTGCCCCTATCCGATATTATCCGAATCTTTTATTTCGGATTCGGTTACGTTAACGGATATTTTATTATATCGGATATTCGGTAGTTTCGGTTACGGTTACGGAGCTCCCTAACATCCCTGGTAACTAACTATTGTTTAAGTATTTTTATTTTGTAGATATACCCTATAATATAGTTACCCATTTCAGGCGCCATTTTCAATAAAAGTACATCATATTTGCTTAAAGCAGAAAATGGTTGTGATAGAAATGACAAAATAAATGGCATTTGGAAATATTACCTACCAAATGTAGGTACTTACTGAATATTTGGCGATTAGTGAAACTACTATTATTTATTATGTAACTTTATCTGCTTATGACTTCAGCTGACAATAGCATAGTAGGTTTTTTTTCTTTTATCCTGTGCGGAGCGAGTGTCACATTCTTGCAGACTTAGAACCACCACATTCCTTTTATTCCGGGCCGGGGTCCCGTTACACCCGCAATCCCGGAAGAAAATAGTACGTTGTGGTACGATCCAAGCCCCAAGCCGGAAGCTATTTTATAATAGAAAACAGACTAGTATCTCACTGCATAGGTATACAATCCTGGTTTAGACATCATAATGTGAGGCTACAAGCTATTTCCAATCTTATACCAAACCAATCAAGTTGCTTTTTATGAAATTCAAATTAGGATTGCTGAATGAAAAGACAGTTTAGTAAAAAGAAACCAAGTATATTTTTATTCATATCAATAGACACTGTGTGGTGTGTCACATAGCCAATGCATTACATACAAAGTAAATGATAATATTAAAAAAAATTGAATACATACTGATGTGTTATAAATAGGTAGGTACATTTGAGCCTCGACTAAGAAATTAAAAAGTAAAAATATACAACTACAAGACAATCAGTCTTAAAAAGTACAGTCAACGTCATTACATTACACATACAAAAAGTTGCCATCTACATCACCTCATATAATTTTCCAAAATTACTAGCTACCTAGTCCGTACTTTCTAATGACGCGAACTGTATTCGACAATAAAGTAAAAAATTCGGGAGAATCCAGAACAAAAAATCACACAATCTTAACCTATGTATAAATATAAATAGGCGACTACAATATTGTCAATGCGAAGCGTATTAGTGTAAAAAATCTATGTACGTGTTACACTGTCAAACAGAAATGTAAGGGATACGAAATGGCGTAACTAACTAAACCTATTCTTCCAGTCCTATATCCAGCAGTGGATCTTACAAACTATTCATTCTTTTCCTTCCTTTAAGGCAATCCTTTTCTTCAATTCAGACATATTACCATCAAATATCTTCTTTAATGTCTAAACTAGTTAGTAATGTAAAGAATAACTGATAGCAATAAGTTACTAGTCTACCATAATCCTTATTTCTACATAAATTGTATCACTACATTTTTGTTTGACAGTATTTTAATACAATTTGTACTCAAAGCTACACAATTTGGCGTCATAATACTGGATATGATATAATACTAAATACATTATGTAAGTACATAGGTAAACATTACCAAATAGTCTAAGTAGAACTATTTGAACTTTTTTTGACTACATTCAATAATCGGTGGGTTTAATAAATATTAGATACATAAGAATGATAAACTAATATCATTACTACAGCAAACATCCAATTTCATAAAGATTTTTGCATTTATTTTTTAAACAAAGCAAATAAATCTTTAGCATACCATCTGGTAAGACAATCCCTATAAATATTCAATGTATTATTAATAAATACATAATTATAATATGTTTGGAGTAAGCCAATCGCGAATGTATTTCAAGTATAAGAAAATACTATGAGTATAGCACCAATTGCATACAAAATATCGACAATATAGGGCCCTAAGCATTGTCCATCACAAATGCCTCTTTTTGAATAATATCTCAGCTATAATAAATGCCACTGCTGGATATAGGCTCTTTGCAAAAGTAAAAATAAATATTTCAATAAATGTAAGTGTTAAAAAGACTTGTGGCATGCTGCCTTCATTATATATCAGAAAAGTCCAAGTTGCAAATGAAAAAGTGGTGTGTGAATAATTCATAGCCATTTGTGATGGTCAACACCTAAGGACCCATGAAGCTAGTCTTTACATATAAGCGGTGGGATATATTTGTGCGTTGATAGTTACATGTAGTCATAATTTTCAGTGGAAGAGCGCCCGAGGTCTCTTCTTGGCAAGGATATGCCATGAGTGGGTGACGCCCTTGCGTCGCTTTGGTGACAAACTGGAAATAAAATATGTATGAAATACCAACCCAATAAAACTTGAAAGAAAAGCTGACATTGAAAAAATAAAAGGAGTTTTTAATCAGTGTGTAATGGTGTTAAGTACTCCAACATTAGGCATTCAGTGCCTAACAAATATTTTTTCTTCTAATTCAAATATCAAAGTAATATGTTTGACAACAATGAGGCACACTACCAACAAAGCTGGCATGCAAAAAAAAACATTACAACAACTTACCCATGATCTGGTGTGTCAGGCATGTATGGCGACATTCTGAAGTCCCGGCTGTGTGGTGTCTCAATGCCAAAAGGACTGTATAGCTTTGTGGGACTCCTCCCAAGTATCTGGGAAAGACCAGCCTACACATTAAATTAGCAGTAGGACCACGGAAAGATAACAAGAATAAAATAATACATGGGTGCTTGTTATTTATGCTACCACATTACAGATACATCTAGAGCCACTAGTGTATGTACATGTATTGTTATGATATATGTTATTGTAATAGAAATAGCACTGATATGTTACTGGTAATTGGGCTAGAGATGCCTCTGAATAATATGAAATGGTACCTATTACAGTCATATGCTGGATTGTGGATGTTGCAACATCTACAAGATTTAATTTTGGATTCATTTGAATGATAATGCATATAAAACCCATGCTGCGTACACATTCTCAGATAAAAATGCTAGCACCTTCTTCCTCTAACAGACTAATACCTTAGTCAATGCGAATTTATTACAAGGAAACTGATTTTCGTCATCATAAATATATTTTAAACATTTAACAAATGTCTGCTAAGTACACGGTTCCAACAGGCGGCATTTATTAAAAACTTTTATTCACCTGTTTCTTTTTCATGACTGGTGTTGTTGGTGTCCTGCATGGAGATGGAGGCTCAGTCAAGCGGTGACGGCGCCTGCCCCCCAATCTGAAATGCTAATAAAATATTTTTCTTATATTATTAGTTCTAAAATGTTGTTGACAAAATGCTAGTAGTAGATTAAGTTATTTTGTTAATGTTTGGTCTTTTTTATGAGTCTTTAATAAATAATTCAAGCCCATGTAACTTAATTTAGTTTTAAAAGAAAAAAAATGAATTTTCGTTATTATTGTAATAGGTCACAAAACCAACCAGAGTTTATACTTATGTGATATTATAACATGGAATTTACGAAAAGAATATTGTAGTTCTATGTTATGATCAATTTATAATTATATAGAAATTCTAACAAAGAATATTTTTTTTTTAAAGAAGGTTTGTCTAGCCAAACTAATTTAAAAGATCGATTTCACGTTGCCATGGAATCTGCGGCCATATCAAAGTTTCGAATGAATTAAGTTTTGTACGAAAATATTTCGCAGCAACTGCATTTAGTTGTACAGTATAGAAATAGGGTTCCTAAAGAACATTATTAATGTGGTAAGATAAATAAGTTTAATACATTTTTGTAATAAAATAGGATGTGAAAAAATACCTGTGACAGATTCCCGAAGGTGTTTCTTACGCTTCGAAAAGTTCTTGATATCTTATCCGCACCCGACTGCAATGCACGACGGGAGTTTGCAAACGAACTAGTCTTAAATATATTCTTGTTGTAGCAACCTTCCACATTTCTTAGGCTCTCCCTGGCCGGCGAATCGATAACCGAATCCTTAACAAAAGGATCCTTCATATTGGAAAATTTGTACTTCGCACTGTTAATATAAATATACTATAAAGTAGCTATTACTAATGCCTAGTAGCAAATCTAATGGCAGCTCACACTTCGACACACATTTTCGTTTTTAACGTTTGTAAAAATCAATCACGCTCTAACGACGACAAAGACCGTTGCTTTGTTGATTTTTTAAAACGGAAACTTGCGCTTTCTTCATAGACTAACCTGAACATCGGTCTTTTGAGATCGCGTTCCAGAACTGAATATAACATCTTTAGCATTATGTTTAGTAATACTTTAGGGATTCTGTTAAATAATAAAAAATATTTAAGCTATAGATCATCGTTAAAACTAATAAAAGCCCTAATTTTTGGAGAGTGTGCGCAGGAATTGCACGATTTGGTTCCGCCATCCCAATTTCACCTTCGGACATTCCGGCGTACGGCGAATATCCACCCTTACGTTGTTGAGACACCTGCGGCATGGACTAAGCGTTTTGCCTCGTCATTTATACCGCGAACATCGAGGGATTGGAACAGTTTGCCGGCTGCAGTCTTCCCGTCCGAATACAATTTAGGTGTCTTCAAGGCTAGAGTGAATAGGCTCTTAATAGATAGTGCGCCTTACCATCAACGATTGCATCACTGCTTACCATCAGGTGGGATCGCAGTCAAGCACTAGTTTAGTGCAAGTAAAAAATAAATATTATAATTGCTGTTGTGTAACCGGCTCGTCACCTTCCCGTTAAGTGTGGAAGACCCAAGCTTCGGCCCGAATGGGTCGGCTCGAGCGGAGTGATACTACGGCCTCACAGAATACCGGCGTGAAACAACCGCAGCGTTGTTTCGCCTTGTAAGTGAGGTTACCGGACGCCCAATCCCACCACTTCCCGATCCTTATATCCGCAACCCCTATCCCCAAAAGGCCGGCAACGTACTCGTAACTCCTTTGGTGTTGCGGGTGTCAATGGGCGGCGCCGATTGCTTACCATCAGGTATTCCGTCTGCTCGTTTGCCGAATTATACCATAAAAACCTCTTAAGTCTTATCTGTACAGAAATAGAAATAGAAATAATTTATTTGCAGAAAATGTATGTTACAGATATGGTGACATGTTAATTTATATTGTCTCAATACATTTCGCCTTACGGCATGCAAAGTATTTGTTAGAATCACAACAGCTCGTAAGCCTATAAGATTACGCAATCCTTAATCAATGGCGGTTAGGTCAAGAAAACACTGTTAAAACCTAATTTTTATATTGCTAAGAATCACTAAATAACAAATATTTTTAATTATCCACGCTGATGCATGTAGTAATCAATAACTGTTGAAAATGCTGCAAAGCCTGCTGCTCCAAAGATACCTGCTCTAAGGCCCCCTGAAAAGAGAAATTATATTTAAGTTAGCAGACTAGAAAAGAGCTCTTTTAAAATTAGGCTTAATGATATCAGTATATCTATAGATACTAGTGAAGCACAAGTCGAAAACACAGAAAAAAAACAAATGAAGAGAAGAGGAAGAGGTGTTTTTAGACCTTGCTAAGGCGTTTGACACCATTTCTATACATATTCTGTTTAGAAACCTTGAAAAGTTGGTATAAGAGGAACATAACTTTTCTAATCTTATAGTTATTTGAGCAGCAAACAGCAGTATAACAGCGTAGATAATCTTGTCAGCGGTGAACGGGAAATAAACAACTCTGGAGTCCACAGGGCAGTATATTTGGACCAACACTGTTTACAATTTACATACATGGACGATATTCTAAAATTACCATTCCAAACGCTGACCTAATTTGTTACGTAGACGACATAATTGCACTGTCTGGAAAGATGCTTAGTAAGAATCAATAATGTCCAGGATCTCAATTAGCTAGATCTGAACTTCTTGACGCTTGGTATTCCAAAGACTAAATTATATTGTATTCAGAAATCCAGGGGGACAAATTGCCACTTTAGAAATTCACGGATGCTTATGTTGTGACTCTTACTATTTCGACACAAAATGCTTATGCAATAATATTGACAGAGTTAATGAAATGAAATACTTTGGAATTATCATCGACCAACACCTATCAATTAAACTGCATATCATGGAACTCTCAAAACGCGTCCGCAAGCAAATATACGTTACGAAAATGATATGATTTACTGCATCTGAAAATGTAAAAAAACATGTTTATATGGCCCTATTTCAGTCGCTGATTCAGTATTGCATGTTTTTTTTTTTATTGATATAAACTAGTGCTTGACTGCGATCCCACCTGATGGTAAGCAGTGATGCAATCATTGATGGTAAGGCGCACTAGTTTATTAAGAGCCTATTCACTCTAGCCTTGAAGACACCTAAATTATGTTTGGACGGAAAGACTGCAGCTGGCAAACTGTTCCAATCCCTTGATGTACGCGGTATAAATGATGAGGCAAAACGGTCCGGGCCGCAAGTGTCTCAACAACGTAAGGGTGGAAATTTGCCGTACGCCGGGATGTCCGAAGGTGAAATGGGGATGGCGGAATCAAATCGTTTTAGTGTTACCTTAGAAAGAGCCCAACACACCATCCTCAGAATACTCCATCACAAACCATTCAGCTTCCCTACAAGTATTCTGGGCGCTGAGGCCTCTTTGCTGTGTATCAGAAAATTATTTATACTGAATGTTGCTATATATGGCTTTTCACTGCTCTAACTCCAGCAGTGAAATCAGTTTTCGCGCAAATATGTCCACATTTACGGACGCACATACGTCTCAAATAGTGAAATACATTCAGTCAACAAAGTATCGGGAATGAATGTTTTTTTTTATGGTTCCAAATTTTAATTTTATTTTTTTTTGTTGTTTTTAGATTGGTATAACTGTTTTCCATTTTGGCGCGGAATTTGAGTTGCATCTGTTATTTACATTAAAAACAGTTCTGTTTTTAGTTTTATTACAATATCAAGTGTGTATTGCTAATTTCATAATGGACAAAAACATCGAACAAAGAGTTTGTCTTAAATTTTGCATCGCCAATGAAATTTCGTGTTCGGAGGCACTCAAAATGTTACAGAAGGCTTACGGTGAATCGACTTTATCAAAAACACGTGCTTATGAGTGGTACAAAGCGTTCAAAAGCGGTCGAGATGTGATGGAAGATTTGCCTCGTTCTGGTAGGCCATCAACGTCTGCAACTGAAGTTAACATCGCAAAAGTGAAGGAAATAGTGACTGAAAATCCTCATTCAAGTTTGAGAGAGATGGCCGCCGAACTTTCTGTATCTCACGAGTCGATCCGTACCATTTTAACAAATACCGACCCAACATTCATGAAACGCATTGTTACTGGTGACGAGACGTGGGCTTACGAGTTTGACATGCAAACTAGTCAACGAGCTTCGGAATGGCGCCTTCCAACTGAACCAAAACCGAAAAAACCACGTCAAAGTCGATCAAAAGTCAGTCATGTTGACTGTTTTCTTTGACTATCGCGGTGTTGTGCACTCAGAATTCTTGCCCGAAGGTCAAACGAAGGTTAAAGAATATTATTTGAGCGTTATGCGGCGTTTAAGAGAACAAATTCGACGAAAAAGGCCAGAAATGTGGAAAGAAAATTCTTGGATTTTGCATCACGATAATGCGCCTTCGCACAAGGCCATCATTGTAAACGATTTTTTGTCCAAACACTCAACAAACACCATCGAGCAGCCACCATATTCACCAGATAATTCCGGAATCAGCGTTTAAAAAAAGTTTCGATGATTGGATTATTCGTTGGCGTAATTTCTGAAGGAGCATACTTTGAAGGTGATAAAATAAATTTAGATGAATAACAAACATTTTATGTATTATTGACTTTTTCCCGGTACTTTCTTGACAGAGTAGTATAAACAAGAATAACTCGCGCTTACGGTGGCCAGAGATCATCTTTCGATCCCCGATGACCGGAGTGTTCCCTACTGCGGCGGAAGAGACGTGAGGAGGATAGTAGCTTCCTCACGCGCTCGGCCTTCTTCTTTGCGACCATAACTGTTTTGCAGAAAGAGGAGACGGCTTCGCAGTTCTTCTCGCCGCGCCACTCTGGGTGGTCCTCACAAAGATGATACCTGGGTGTTTCCTCCCACCGGATCCGAAACAGGAACCTACCGAAGCTGCCGTGCCCGGTAAGCACCTGCGGCAGGCGGAAGACGAGGACGCCATGCCGCATCCATACTACTTGAAGAAGGGTCTTAGTATGATGATGATGCACAGCACTCAGTTGCAATTCTTGCACACCATAAAGGTTAGTCCTATCCATGTACCACTCACACTCATCTTACACAAACAGCATCAAAATCCAGACAATTAGGCATTTACTTCAAAAATGTTTGATATTTATAATTTATACTCTATTTTTGTTCCTACATGTAATTAAATTGTACAAAAAACCTTCCATTTACCCAAGATACAGGCTTGCCTCATTAGGGGCCAGTGTAAAACACATGGCCATGACATTATTATTATAAGATATAAGTAAGAATAATTTGAATACCTCTTAACCCTATTAGGCCTCCCGTAACTCCACCAGCATAGGTTCCATTTTTCCAATCAGTTTTCCCTCTTGCAGATTCTATACAGCATTCAACACCAGAAAATACAGCTCCGAGAATAGCAAAGTTCTTAGCGTAACTTAACATTAACTTAACAATATAAATGCATAACGACGTGGCCGTTGGCATGATGCGCATTGGCGAATGACGTAGGTAAGTCGAGAGCGGTAGTATCAGTCGACAGCTGTATCTGCCCTCTCTTTCACTCGTCTGTCTAGTCTAGCCAGCCTATCTACTGCGTGTTACTTTTATAGGTACATATGTATGTATATTACTATATTTCTATCTTATTTTATTATAACAACATATTTATTATTACTGTTTATGTATATTTATATATTTCTTGCTTAATTAATAATAAACTTATTTTATTACATTATTATTATATATTATATTGATGTCCGTGATGTTTCTCCTCAGGGTTCAGTTGAAAACCAGCGCCAGGCACTAGTTGTCTGGCTTTCATGCTGAACTGGACCCATTTGGCACAACTCTTGTTTGTTTTCTTTCTTTTTTAAGTAGCAACTATTTTTTTATTTTTTTGTTTTGTAATCTTGTTACGTTTAAATTCAACCGTTTTGTAACGTGTTTTTTTTTTTTTTTTTTGTTTGTGTTAATTGCTACAATATGTATAGTATGTGTGTGCCAATAAACGTATCTTTCTTTCTTTCTTAAACGTATCTTTAAAAACTGTATGCTAGTTTTCTGCAATAAAAAATTATTATTATAAGATATAAGTAAGAATAATTTGAATACCTCTTAACCCTATTAGGCCTCCCGTAACTCCACCAGCATAGGTTCCATTTTTCCAATCAGTTTTCCCTCTTGCAGATTCTATACAGCATTCAACACCAGAAAATACAGCTCCGAGAATAGCAAAGTTCTTAGCGTAACTTAACATAGATGTTTTCATTTCTCGCAATATTTCTCTTGCAGACTGGGTTTGCATGGCATTCGGATCTGTTACTGATACATTGGGCATTAAAGAGGATGTGAAGAGACCTACAGCTGCACCAAGACCATACCCTGAAAGAAAAAAAATAATCTTAGTTAATTAATGAAGAAATTTTCTACTTTGTCTTTGACCACAGTAGTAAAAGATTGAATAAAAAAAAGTTGTATTATTGATTTTGTTTCTGTCTTCAGATATGCATTAGGTTATATTTTGTATCTAAGTATGACATCTCTATGAAGAATTGCTATTGATATTCTATACAAGAAATCTAAATAATACACTAAGGTCAATTTAATAACACTTTTATTTATCACTTAAGAGTTTTGTTATTATTTTTTTGTACTTGTAATGGGCAGGCGTTTGGTCTCGCCTAGTGGGAAAAAATGATGCAACCTACATAGAATATATATCTACACCTAATCATAAGCAATGTTTTCTCAGTTTACTTACCAATAATACAACTTGTGAGTGATTTAAATGGGCAGCTCTCAATAGTGGATTCAATCATTTTCTCCTCATTAGTTTTGATGATGACTGGTCCAAGGATCCGAGGTATTATAATATTCTCACGAAATCTTTGGTTGTTACCAACCAGGTACTTGGCAAGCGAGTCATAGTCATTTTCTTTAACAAATTTAGACAAGTTCGGGTCAGTCGGCGGTCTAAATGATAACGACATTCTAACTGAACACTGATAACACTGCAATCCTTATAAGTTTTGTATCTATGAGCATTTACATTAGAATGCTCTACAGTTTGTATAAATACAAACGATACATTTATTTAATTTGTTTTTTATTCCTTTGGCGATCGATTTTATAACCTACAAAGTATTCAGCTGATCTTGAGCCTATGTAGGTGAAGTTTAATTTAATAAATTAAATCATGTACATTATTTCGTTTAGGTTATTGCAGAATTGACATTTGAATTTGACACTTGTGTAATAATCCAATATAATTTGATACTTTGAAAGCGCTGTTGCCGTGAATTTTCAGTACAATCTCCAGTAGATTTTAGTTTAGTTCTCTGTTTTTCCGCAGGTCAAGATGCACTGGCATCTTGGTACCCACCCTGACAACTTCAGATGAAGTGACATGACAATGTCAACGGAGGCTAGTTTGACAGTAACAGTACCGTTTACGAGATTGGTTAATCTTTACCAAAAGGTACCATATTCTATTAAATGTAGTTGTACAGATTGTTTTTAAATCAGCACTCTGATTTTAAGATTCCAAAATAACAAAATATATAAGTAGCATTTTACTATTGGCATTTTATTATTTTAACTAAACAGACAGTGACACAATTCACTTGAAAAAAGTTTATAGCACTTTTTGTGCTCGTATCTGCGTGCTTTGCTCTTGGCTAGCTTCGTGAACAGAAGTAAACAACAAACTCAATAGGTAATAGTGCTTCTTCTTATTTGTGAACCCGATATTTTTGTTTTAATTACTTGTTGTATTAAACAATTTGACACAATGTCTGATTCATCAGAAGAAGAAGATCTTTCTCGTTTTAGGGAAGTAGTGGACACATCGTTTACCAAATTAATAAACGAATCACGCGGGCATACTACAAAAGACATTCATGAAAATTGTAAGTACTTATTAAAAATTATTTAAAACATTAAAATCACAAAATTATAGGCCTGCATGATACTTTGCAAAATTTTTAAAGCATTCTTCTTAATGTCTGAATTACTTTAGAGATTGTTTATAACTATATAACCTCACTTTTGTACAGGGATGTACTTGCTATTTCTTTATCCACTTTTTGTTTAACACTAATTATATTTTTCTTTATTTTTTATGTATATCATACATTTTTTTTTCAGATAAAGAAAAACCTAAGTCTGAAAGATATTTGGAGGTTGCATCCCATTACAACGATGTTAAAGTTCCCGAAGAAATGCAGAAACGAATTGGTGCTAAAGTGTCTGCTATTATACAAAAGAAAATAGAGTTTGTGGACATTCAGAATGAAGCAAAGTAAGTATACGAAAACTTACGACTGTCTTTACCCGGCACTTGACAAGACGAGAGTTATTAATATTAGAGAATTCAATATGTAGGTAGAGTAAAATCGGATTTGATGTGCATACAAATCTGATTTTACTCTACCTTCTACATTATACAAAAAGGATGAAACTGCGTCTAATAACCTTATATTTTAAAGTCTAGTTAGGGTGTCATATCAGATTAAAGAAGTTTTTTTATGAAAGCTGTACATCCTGTGGCACTTATGTAATGAGTTACTACAAGTGTGATTAGGGATTGGGGATTGGGCATTCGGCGAACTCGCTCACACGGCGAAACATAACACCAGTCGAACATCATTCCACACTTAAAAACTTTACTCTTAACTAATGAGTATTATTTCTTTTACAGAAAAAGAAAGATTAAAGGTGGTGTAAAACTATTTAGTAGTTCTGAAGGGTTTTTGTCATGTGAAGAGGTGAAAGACAGTTATACTGATACTCATAATGCGGAATCAAAAAAACTCAAAAATAAAAGAAGACAAATTGACTCTGAAGATAATGTAACTGAAAATGGTATGTTTTTGTCTTTATTACTACAGTAAAAATAACATGTCTACCCATATGAAATGTATAATTTCAGTATTCAATCTACTTTTAAACTTTTTTTCGGCATAGCTAATTTTGTACTAAAGTCAGAATTTTAATTCGATTCCTGATTTGACATGACCTACTGTCATTTTGTGAAATAATGATACCACATATAACAGTGTAGTGATGAACACAAAAATCGATAAACAATCAGTGAATCAGTTTCAAGAAGGCATTCAAAAAATTACGGCTATCGAATGGTCTAAATGCGTATCCCATGTTGTCAAAGAAGATGAAAAATTGAGTAAGCTAGATATGTTAATTGACAATAAAAATCACAGACACAATTCATAATAAATGTTACAGAAAATAACAGCGATAGCGATAGCGATGACGGCGACAATTCATAAAATTTCTGTTTTGTTTGTCATGTTCCTTCATGATCACATTTTTTATTAATTTCACACACAATTACAAAAGAAAAGTCTCAGATCGTTAATTAATTGTCAAAACTAAATTATGGGTTCAGAAATATTTTACTTCCTGATAAACTTAGTTTACGAGAATAAATTTATAAACGAGAGGAATCGATTCAGAAATATTCGATTTCCACATCGAATAATTTCGCAACGTCACTATTTATTACGTGTCATTACGTTGCAACACTGAAATTGTCAAATCTGGAATGGAATTAAAATTCCGGGTACCTATATGTATTTATGAATATTTTCAAAAAATTTAAAAAGGAATACTTATATTGTGACTGATCTGGGAAATGAATATCAAAGCCATTGTTTGTTATATGTATTGTTTGTGACTTTGTGACCACCTAGCAAATGAAGCAGATGCTGGATGGAGTTGTATTTTTTATCTATATGGTTTACCTATTTCTTTTTATTTTAGATAAAATTCAAGCTGCTCTTGTGGACGGAGAGTACATTTTATCTAAAGAAGAAACAAAACTATGGAAGTCCAGAAGAAAAGAGAAACTTTTTAAATATAAAGGTAATAAGAAAAGTAAAGTTTTAACCGAAGTAACATAGAGTATACAAATTTGAATATTTTGTAAATATATGTATGTATTATATTAATATTAATATACAACAAAGCCTTTTTGTTTCATTTATAAATAGCCTAATGATGAAATTGCTCAAATGGTTTATGGTACAAAAATGTAGTAACATTTCAATTAAGTATATTAATCGCCATAGTCCTAATATACCAAATGGGGATGTTTTATTCTTTTACAAGAAATTAAATAAAAAAATCATAAAACATTAAACATTTATTTACAATAATCACATAAAACTATGAAATAAATATGTACAAAAGATCTTTATCACATAACAACTGCATTTCATTAAGATTTTTTTTATTTTATGTAATCCATAATTGACTACAATGAACCTACTCAAGTATAGTAATTTACAACATCAGCTCATTGTCACTTATTTGTAATTGTATGGTTTTAATTTTTATGGTAAGGAATTTATTGCGAATAAACTCAAAATTAAGAATAAAAACAACTTTTGTTTTAAAAATTTCGTAAGTATTAATAGATCTGGTATTTTTAAAATAACATTGTTTTTCAGTTTTATATAATCTTTTTGATTAAAACAACAGTAGCTGGGATTCACCACAGTGCTAGAAATAATGGTGATTTTTCAATACACATAATTTTGAGGTAGGTATGCAAAAGTTATTTTGTAAACAGACATTGAATTAACTTTATATTCTTCATGAAAATAAATAAAACGACCTTAACACAACTACTTAAAAATAACTTAAAATAAAACTTAACACTCAGACATACCTTATAGGTACTAACGACAATGCACATTAAATGATCAGCATTAATGTAAGCTCCTTCATACATACAGGCTCAGTCAGTCAGAAACCTTATTTTAGCACTGCATTATAATGAATTAGCTATAATAAATTTTGCTTACTCCTAAAGGAACATGCATTGTATGAGAAATGTCATATTTAGGCTTTTCTACAAACTTGAAATCGCGTAGGCGGATTCAACAGTTATACAAACTTTTTTAAGAAACATTTTACAGCATATATATATGGTCCGAATCACCTAATTAATAACGATTAACTTTGGGAATAACGCATATTTTTTATTTATTTATTACAATTCAACCAATAACTAAGTAACTTCGTCGTAAGCTATATACAAAGTCGGGTTATGCATTCATTTTGTACTTTATTGCACACAAAGACGTCCTAAGTACGGCCCTGGGGCCTCGTTGCTGATTTATTTTTGCTAACAGATCGAATATTATTCAGGTCAGTTATGGCCCCAACTAAAGCGTGGAAAGTCCTTTTTCAATTTACAACCGTTCGTTGACTGCTGAAGGTAGAGGTCTGCCTGTATTTCTGGCTGGCAGTTCATCTTGGGTAAAAGCTCTGTTGTCGAGACCACTGCGTTTGTTTGAGGGCTCTTCTGTGGCTGGTTTCTCTATAGGACCGTCCATCAGGAACATTGTTAGGAAGAACATTATGCTGCCTGTAAATAAAGTATGTCAATCAGTTAAGCTTGTATAACCATAAATAGTAGGTAGGTACGTATGAGATGTTACGATGATGGCATATCATCGAAATAGGTAGACGACTTGTTCACACACTCTTTAGTATTTCTTTACACCAGCTTTACAAATACAACACAGCATCGCAAAATAAAGTCTTACAACTTCAGATATTAAAGAATATTTAAGTATAGTCTCTGCAGACTATTTTAAAAGCTACCTGCTTCATAAGTAGTAGTAAACTTACTAATGCCATAAAATCCAGCGTAGAAGATCATGATGGCCTCCCTGTACCCTATGATCTTGGAGACAGGGTCGACCAGGATGGGCAGGTTTCCTCCCACGTTGTTCATCACGAAGAGGAACACTCCGACTGTGGTAGATCGGACTGACAGAGGTACTATCTCCACGAGGATGGCGAAGACGATACCGAACCACATCTCAGCTGAAGGAAAAAGACATTGTGATTAGTTAAGGAGTCATTATAAGTAGATAGTATCTACTGATAATTGTAGTCAAAATCAATGCTTACCGAAGAAGTAGGAAATAGCAAGAGTGATCATGGCCCATAGAGGTCCGAACACCACAGAGCCGAAGGCGGGGAGGGTGGCAATCAGTTGAGACAGCGCAAGAACCAATACTCTTGAACGAACACCCATCTTCTCTACATACCTGCAAAAATAATTTGGATTAGATAGGTATAGGATAAAGGTTACTTACGACTTTACCGAAATCTTCTTTCTTTATCTATGCAAGTATCTTTATCTAGTCTTTATATATGCAAATAATGCTCTTGTAAGTATTATTATTCAAAAAAAGAATAAAAGAATTAAAAGACAAGTAAAACTACTTAGATCAGGTATCTAACACAAATCTTCGACATTCACTCATTCATTCGACATTTAACAAAACTGATGATTATCGTCCTCTTATAAGAAAGTTATTACTTGTATTGGTAAACCTTTACACAGATAGCTTCCTTCCTACGCTTAAAAACTACTAGCTTCTCTCGTGCGGTTTCAATTGCTGCTCGGCTTCTAAAAATCGTAGCGTGATGTTTTATAGCCTAAAGCCTTCCTCGATAAATGTACCTACTAACAAACAAATTCAAACTAGTAGTTCTGGAGTTAGCACGTTTAAACAAACACCCCAGCTTTTATAAAGCTAGAGTGTTTAAAAATAAAACTTAAACACCCCAGCTTTTATAAAGCTGGAGTGTTTAAGTATAGATGTGCAATAAGTGAAGAGTGCTATTAAGTGTAGATAAGAATAAAAGACGAATATATACTTAGTCGGGTCATAAGTTCTGTCAAAACCTTATATTTTTAATTTTCGATTACTGGCCAGAAATTCTTCGACTTATTTTAAAAATAGAACTTTCGCGCTTGTAGAAAATAAAAAAGAAATTATTTTTTATTCATTTTTAAATATGGAGTGGTCGAATAAAGAAGACAGAATCGCGGTTATCGCGTTGCACCGCTGTGGTTACGCGCCAAAAGACATTTTCAATATTCTTCAAAATTTGAAAATAACGTTACGGTTTGTTTATCGTACTATCAAACGATACACCGAAGAGTCAAGCTTCGAAGATCGTAAGAGAAGCGGCCGACCTCGCACAGTTCGGACACATAAGGTCATCAAAGCAGTGAAGGCGCGAATCGAACGAAATCCCGTACGTAAACAAAAAATCCTAGCTCTGCAGATGGGGCTAAGCAGAACCACTGTTAAAAGAGTACTAAATGAAGACCTGGGACTACGAGCTTATCGTAAAAAGACAGGACATTTTTTGAACGAGCGTTTAAAAAAAATTAGGCTAGACAGATCCCGCGCTTTGCTACGACGGTACGCGGGAAAAAAATACCGCGAAATTCTTTTTTCGGATGAAAAAATTTTTACTATTGAAGAAAGTTTTAACAAACAAAATGATAAGGTGTATGCCCACAGCAGTGAAGAAGCAAGCGCGCGTATTGCGAGGGTCCAGCGTGGGCATTACCCTTCCTCATTCATGGTTTGGCTTGGAGTCTCATATTCAGGCGTAACTGAGGTGTTTTTCTGTGAAAAAGGTGTGAGAACTAGTGCCGAAGTTTATCAAAATACTGTCCTAACAAACATAGTGGAACCTCTTTCTCAGACAATGTTCAGGAACAGGCATTGGATATTCCAACAGGACTCTGCACCGGCTCATAAGGCACGAAGTACGCAAGACTGGTTGATCGCTCGTGGAATTGACTTCATCCGGCATGAAGACTGGCCCTCTTCTAGTCCAGATTTAAACCCACTGGACTACAAGATATGGCAATATTTGGAGGAAAAAGTCTGTGCTAAACCTCACCCGAATTTGGAGTCTCTCCGAGCATCTCTGGTTAAAGCAGCGGCAGACATAGATATGAATGTGGTGCGTGCAGCGATCGATGACTGGCCGCGTAGATTAAGGGCATGTGTTCAAAATGGGGGAGGGCATTTCGAATAATGTAAATAAAATTATATTGTACATTTAATGACCTTTCATTTCATATATAATTTTTAAATAATTGTCAAAAGGCGTATAAGTTATTACATCAAAAGTTTGTGACAGAACTTATGACCCGACTAAGTATATCTAAAACGTTTCTACGCAGTGAAGTAGTACCCGGGGTGGAGCTACTCTGAATCCACCCCACTCTGAAGCTTCTGCCCAGACAGATTTGCCGAGTTCGATGCCGCTTGACGGCGAGAGGAAAAGTAGTTTACTTGTCTGAGATGACTCCTCCAGCGACGACACCGATGGAGCCGATACCAACAGTGACAGCGAACAACCACCAGCCTAGGTCCACATCAGGGAAGTAGTCACGGTAATACAGGTCCGCATTGTACGCGAAACACATGCCACCTGGAGAAACACATTATTAATTATAGTATAGATTATATAGTATATGTATGTTATAATATAGATTAGTACATTTCGTCATTAACAGGCTATGATAGTCTTCTGTTGGACTACGTATATGAGGGTTTGCCATAACTTCCTTTTTGGCTTTTTTCCAATGAAAAACTGCAATGTTTTGTCGATTGGTTAGGTATTTAACACAAAATAATTTAGTCACATAATTTATTATGTGAGTTATTTTATTAGTTTCTGACAAAAGTAGAATAAACGACGTCACGGCCTTAGATAGCAATAAGCACTTATAAAGCTTTTTGAGAGTTAAACATCGAAAAAGATATAGGGCAAGAGGGAGTGTCAGACTCTTACTGACTAAAAACTCCCAGGTCCGTGCCACGGTATAAAATTGTCTTGACCTGCAACTACAGCTGTCAGTACCTAGGAGCATCCTAGAGGATGAATATCGTATTTTACTTATTAATTTATGAATGCGAAGGAACGTATACCAATACCTATCGATACTATGTCTATGGCAACCAAAAAAATATTTGTTATGATATTAATCAATTACGATTAGGTAAGTTCAATAACATCTGCATCAATGACTTATCTAAAACACTAAGCTAATGGAAAAATAAACTAATCAATTTCTACATAATGTTAAAACAAATGATCCCTTCTACTTATTACTAATGGAAATAGACGACAGGATAAAGAAAATGATATAGTTAAGTTGCCAGCTAATGCTCCGTCCAATGGCTTTATTAAATGAATTTTCTCGCTGACCTAGATAAGGTCAAAAGGATATAAATGTCTCAGTGACTGGCTTATCCGTCTACACGAGTCTGGTTTACTATGAGACAGGTCAAGGATTACGAAGAAATGAAGCTCTTCGAATGTTAAGTATCAAAGTAAAATCATTTATAATGTTTAGTGAAAGAGGTTTTAATGAATTACCTACATTATTTAAGTAAATATCTTGAGATTAAAACAACATGGTAACATTCAAATTGATGTTTTAAAAGTACTTAGGTATACTTAGGTACTCGTTATATTTAATAGGGACACCCTTTAAACAATATTAGGGTGAAACAAAATCGCTTGAAAACTGACAACACTGCAGAAAATGACAACTTCAAACAACTACAAAGGATTGGATGTGACAATCTCTTTTATGCGAAGGAGTTCCCGAGAAGCACTTCAGTGTTGTCTCTCGGGGCCTGAGTACGGCCCTGTCATTTTCAAATATTTTAAGAGAACTGACATTTGTAGGTATTTTAGTATTAAGCAACTAAAAAAAAATTCAAACCATAGTTTTCTTTTCTTTGTTAGTTATTACAAATAGTTAATAGTTATTCAATAATTTATTTAGGTACATATATTTAAAGTTATAATAATTAAAAATGGGACAATGTCAAGCGGTTATGTTCCTAAATTTACACTCCTCTCTCATGGAATATTAGGTAGGTAAACAAAAGCCAAGCCAAGAAAGTCGACGGAAACTGTCGTTAATTTAAATTGTGGAGGAATTTAAATTAGGAACAATGCGAAGGCAGCTAATTATGGGACAAACAAAAGTTATAATTTTCCATGCAACCTCCGTGGATGTTAAAACTTTAGCTAACATAGGTACCTACCTACCTACCTATCTTCTCGTAGGTGTGGTTATTATCTATACCTACATCGCATTTTTTTATGCGTAAAAACTGCCATAGATATCTTCTAGATGCCAAAAATAACCTATAATAATTGTACCTATTAAAAACCTAATGGTGACAAAAATCCACAATTGCAAAAAAGGTTCGGGTTTCATCAATGATGTATAAAACTATAGATACGTCGTCCGCGCTCTAAAATGACAACATGAAATGAAGGCAATTGACAACATCGCGCTTAGTTACGCACCAACCTGCCGCGCAACGCGACGTTTGTTTTTAATTTATATCGTGTGTGTAAACCTGTGCGAAACATAAAAAAGCATGTCGTCGGGTGTGTTCAGACGATGTACAAATTATACTCCAAAAGTTTAAGACAAAAATGTGTAATTTCATGCGTAAGTTCACCAAACAACCTATTTTTATTTTATTTTTTTCGACGCCGGCGCCCGCCATCTTATGGCGGCCGGCGAATGAAGGTATAGTCACGTGCCATCGGCATGACTGAAGATGTATATTTATCTCCCTCTAGCAAAGGCATTCCACTATACGATGTCATATTTTCTTTCCCTTTCGTTACTCGTAGAAGTAGTTATCTAGTATTTTCGCCGTTTTTAAGCGCCGCGATGTTGGTTCATGACGTGTCTATATATAATACGTCATTGGGTTTCATAGATTTTTTGGACACCACAAACAAAACTTAAAAATATTGGGTTCTCTTTTTAAAATGATAAACCATGGAATTATGTCACATCGTCAAGTTATTAGTTCTCGGAAGAAATAACAATGACATGAATCCGGTACCTACCTACAGGGTACTTGCAAAAGCACTTTTAGTAGGTAGCTAAATCGACCTTGGATTTCGCGACATGACAACTCCAAGTTCTGCCGTGACTGGCAGGATACAAACAACAAACTTATATTTGCGTTTAAAAATAAATCTTAGAATATAAACTGCACATTTTCATCCTTATCGCAAAGCAATAAAGTGTTTGAATAAAAATAAGGGTTTTTTAATTGGCATTAATAATATTGTTAAAGCTCTTGTCGTGAATAATGGCTTGTATACTCACAATGGGTAGGTGTTACCGGTAATAACATAGAAATAAAATATTCATGATTGTATAACAGATTGCTTATATACCTACACTTAATTGAAAATCAATTAAATCACTTTATGGATACTTATTAGGTATACCTAGTATGTATTAGGTAAATACCTACCTACCTACATACAAACAGAGTGAATCTCTGATACATAACTATGAGTGCAACTTATACGAACCTTACCGTTTATTTTGTTGTTGTTTAAACATTTTTGTAAGCTAGCTTGTCACTTGCTCTTCTTTTTTTTATATGGATCAGGAATATTATTGGATCGCTATATGAGTGCGGTTACTTCATGCCCAAACCTTTCCCTTCCCCATCCCAATTCTACGTAGGTACCTACCTATATCTAATCTTTAAATCCCTAACCGTAAAAGTTCATGGTGGCACTGATTGCTTACCATCAGACGATCCATTGCTTCGTTTGCCGCCATATGACATCGTCAAATTAGTGTCTCATATTTGGACTTTTAAGCAGAAGCTTAATAGAACTCACCACAATGTCTGATAGAGGCAGCTAGACACAGAAGAATAATCCTGGGCTGCGCAATCACATGCCAGATCGTCACCTGAGGGATCTTCTTGCCGGATTCCACAGTGGTGTCATTCGTCTTTGCGGTTCCTGAGATAACATGGTGTTTATTAGATATTAATTTTGGGTTAATTTATAAGGATTCAGATTGGTTATAAGGAGTCAGATGTTGCTATGCAGAAGAAGGCTTTTTTTTAAATAAGTACATCACAGATCGTAGCATGATGTTTATGTCTATAGCCTGTAAGGATCAAGGGTTCGCAGGATATTAAAAATACTTCGTTTTGTGTAGGAGAAATCGTAATAATCGTTTATTTGTCAATTCGTCGTGGTTAAAAAAAAAAACATGTCCGTCCTGTCATTCGTCCAATCACCATCCTTTTCCGGAAATCGCTCTATCTCACTCGCTCATTCATTCATTCTCTCTCCCTATATGATAAGTGGACTACTCAACGCAAAAATAATAAATGTTTAATTCGAACCAGCACTACCAGAGATGTGTTTTCAAACCATAGAGAACTAAACCCTTCTCTATGATTCAAACAAAAAATTTCTTCAGCTTTGTGAATTGACTTCCAAAATTATGAATTGTATAACATAGCTTCTTTTTTAAATATGATTGGGACGTTATTTATTTATGCACATTGTTAATCATTATAGTTTACCTTCTTCTCCAATAGTAGTTCTGGAAGGTTCCCGAAGAGTGAGGAAAGTGAGCACTGTGATGACCAGACCAACGATACCGGCTCCGAAGTAGCATACACGCCAGCTCTGTGGGTGAATTTTATTATAGCATTTAATAACATGTAGTGTATTTATGAAATAAGTAGGTACTCCTAGTCACACCATATGCGGGTTAAGCCCAATAATGGGTCTCGTTCTCGGCCCGGAGCAGGAGAAGGAACGGTCTGACACTCCTTCTTGTCCGTCTAGGATGAGAGAAGTAATTTGACGGTCTTACCCCTTCAGAAAAAAATGCATTTCTCGGTTCCAATAAAATTCTTGTCCTTTCTTTTCGATTTTATAAGTGATAAATTTACGAATCTAACTTCATGTACCTACTTAGAAGTGGTTTTAATAAATGAAATACGTATGTAAATAGTATAGTAGGAAAGAATTAAACTCACCAGTCCCCAAGCATTCACATCAGGTATATAACGTCCAACAGGGAAGGCGATACCATATCCTCCATAGATACCCCAGTTGAAGATGGACAGCGCCAGGGCCCTCTGTTTCTCAGGGAACAGATCCGTCAGAATGCCTGTAGCTAGCGGATTGCAACCAGATTCTCCAGCCGCCATTATCATACGCAGGAGGACTAGATGCCAGTACTCCTTGACAGTGCCCATCAGAAGAATCGCGATCACGAAGATTAAGGTACAGAAGGAAAGGATTCGTGCTCTGTTGAATCTGTTGAGAAAAATTGTTTAGTATGAGTAATTATTTTGAACATAGTAACAAAAATGGTTTCAATCTTGTGTGAGAAGACTTGTTTTGTAACATGGATTTTGAGCGGAGATTTTAGAAATTAAGACCTATACTGTATTGTTTTTAGATCATTCATTTCCAACTACAGGATTTTTGTGATTGGAACGAAGACACCATTTTTTCTGATGTGGGTCACAACAAACATACAAATTCATACACAAACCACACAGACTTCAAACAACAATTTTTGAATCACACAAAGTGTAGTTCCGTGCGGGAATCGAACCTGCAACACGCAAGTCACGCTTTTGCCCAGCCACAACACCAACCATGCAGTCAAAAAGATATTAGACAAAATCTAAACAGGCTATGTAGAAAGATCATATTATCAGCACTTACTTGTCAGCGACCACGCCAAGTATGACTCCAACGACAGTGAAAACTGCCATGAAGGCGGGGCCCGCCAGCACTTGGTAGTCAATGCCGAGTCCATTGTAACCCCACTCGCAGTACCGCGTTCCATTCAGGGTTAGAGTCTCACATCTACAAAAAAAAAAACACGTAAATAAATAAATATTTTTAATTTTCAACATAGTGAACACATTGTTTAACCAGAATAATCTAAAGTATTACAATTATCAGAATATATTCGGAGAGAGATGTAGCTGCTGGGTCCCAAACTAGGCGCTGTGTTTTGGTGTTATCGTTTAATTCAGGTTTTATTATTCCTACTGGCAAAGGACAAATACTTAACCTAAAGTTCAAAATAATTGTAATAAGTACAACTTTAAAAACAAAAACAGTTAGATATATAGATATCACACACATAGTGCTATCAAAGAAAAATCCATAACGTATAAAAAAAATGCCGAGAAAAATCAATCAAGATAATTTGAGATTATGTTGTGTGTGCAGAAAATGGGATCAATCGACTAAAGGAGCTGAATCAGGACCAATATCTTCGACTGTCACATTAATCATGTTGCTTTATCCTCTATTGATCGACGGGACTTAATGACTTTTCGCAGTTTCTTTTCTACCGTCCCCTGATACTACTTAAAGGCCAACATTATTATGATTTTTCGGTTCCTAATACAATTCTTGTAGGTACTGTCGAAGTGAATTACGTTGTTTTATTTAGAACTAGCTTCTTACCGCGACTTTGCCCGCGTGAAATATGGACTTCTGCAGATTTTGGTTAAAAAACTATCCTATGTCCTTTCTCGGGTAACAAACTATGTCTGTACCAAATTTCACACAAATCGGTTCAGTAGTTTAGGCGTGAAGGAAAGACAGACAGACAGAGTTAATTTCGCATTTATAATATTATAGTCTGGAAGTTTGGATTTATGTTGCAACTCTAGCGATCCGCCCCGGCTTCGCACGGGCGCTATATCGATTCTCGCCTTGATCAATTTAATTAATTCTTTTATTTTTCTTTCTTTGTTAGCGATATAGTTTGACACGTTGCATCCTTGTGAAACAGGGACGCATCACTGAATGGTTTCATGTTTCATATATTTCCTTTAATACTTGTTTCAATACAATTATTGTTCAGTTCGAAATAAGACCAAGGAGGCGATATATCTCCGAAGCGAAACGCCTACTATGTTACTATCATTAAATCCCGTTTATCATAGTTCAAGTGAATAAGTACTTAAGTAATTTTATTGACTATAAATCATCGCATAAGACTACTTTGAGGGCGTCTAAATTGACTCGGAAAGACAATATAGGTACGGATTAAACAAAGAATGGCTTCGAGCGCAAATTCTCGAGAATTGGTTACTCGGTCGCCATCGTAGTCATAGTCGCTTACCATCAGGTGATCCGTCTGATCGTTTGACTCCTATTCAATAAAAAACAACTATAAGTATTAGGTAATATTATAAACACGTTAATTTTTTTAATTGGTATGTAGTGGGTAATCTTTGGAACCGCTGGTTGAATTTCCAAAATTCTTTCACTGAATATTAGCTTAGCTATAAGCTCTAATTTTTTATGGTATAGATTGACAAACGAGCAGACGGATTACCTGATGGTAAGCAATCAGCGCCGCCCATGGACACCCGCAACACCAAAAGAGTGATGTTGCGGGTTGTTGAGTGGATAGGTTAGGGTTAGGGGATAGGAGCGGTTTTAGGGATAAAGGCTTCGGATATTTAAGGTTTGTGTGGGATGGGGGAGGGGGAGGGATTGGGCCTCCCGCAACCTCACTCACACGGCGAAACACAACGAACCAACTGTGGTTGTTTCAAGCCAGTTTTCTGTAAGGCCGTGGTATCTCTCTGGTCGACTCATTCGTGCTGAAGCTTGGCTCTCCCACACTTACTAGTCGCTCGGCTGCCAGCTACGTCAGCGTCAACGTCGAATAGGTAATCGCGTAATCCTGTTTATATTGTTACCAGTGAGTTTCATTTCATATCTCATTGCGCCGATAGGATCGGGAAGGTTCATTAAATTGAAGGTTCATTTTTGTCGAGGTATCGTTATACGCTGCTGTTTATAAAATCCCAGGACACATTACTTTACTTTCATACGCGAGCGACGCTGTAAGCGGAAGCTAGTTATGGTTATAAACAGATATCAATCCACAGTAATAAATGAAGCTTAAGTAATATCACAGACGCTTGGACTACGGTTGACGTCAAAGACAAGATTACAAGAAAGTAATTTATTTTTAGAATCCAATTAGATCAGGATAATGATTAAGGATTTACCGCCAGATGTCGTTGTATTGAAATATGATGATTTCCTTTATTATTCAGTTTCTGATTAAGCGAGATATTTGATGACATTATTAGTGAAAAGAAAGGTGGGTGCAAGATTTATTAGTGATATTTAGGGAGTAAAAGGTACGATACTGTTTCCGTATATCGTATAAAACTATTTGGAGATTTATAATCACCATGAAAATGGTTGTTTATACCTGTTGTTGCCTTCTTTACTGAAAAGGATTTTACATTATTTTTCAATGCTTTTTTTTTCGAGAAATCATTAAATATCTTGCCTGCCCTAGGTGGCATTATGGCTCATTCACGGCATGAGGGAGTGTCAGACTCTTACTGACTAAAAACCACCCCGTTCTTTCTCCAGCAGAGACCTGCTTCCGCGGTATATTATTTCGCTTGCACATCACGGCGAGCTATCCTTACCTATTCCTATCCTTGCTCGCCGTCCTGAGGTTTGATATCAAAGTTTAAATTTTAACGTAAATCGATTATCGTTTTGGCTCGTTTAAAAGTTCGTGTAAATGCAAATTATAGGAAATAATTTCATTGTCCGCTTTACTTGTGAAAGTCAATAGAAAAAGCTAATAAGACTTTTAATGACTTGAGAAATGAGTTCGAGATATCATATTTATTGGGAATTTACATTTAAACTATTTTCCCGCCTGTGGGTTCGCCTGTATAGATCTCCATTTTTTTGTCGAGTGGTTCCGATCATGTTTTATAATGGTATAAAAAGTTTCCTGTCGTACCAACCTCCTTATTTACAATGACTACCTAATGATAGTTTAATGCAGATAATAATGTAATATTAATAAAAGAAAGGTTCCTCTATATTTCTATAAAATATTTGGATAAATTAAGTACCTAGACTTCTTGTAAAAACTCAGGTACAAGGATTTTCTTTAGTCTTAGGTTTAACAATTGAGTCAGTTTTTGTTTTTCAAATTAGGTAAAGTAAGATTAATACAAAACCTGACTCAATGATTTAAAGCTAGACTAGAGATAAATATTTTTGTAATAAGGGTGACTACAAACACACACTTCGAATTATAAAATACGATGATAGTGATGGCTGCCAAAACTTTAAAGGATTCACTCTAGTTCAAAAAAAGGAGAAAGTACCTACATAACTAATTATTAAAGTAAAAATATATATGTATAATAAAGTGACTACTACATCGCCATTCCGCTAGTCTGTCAGTTCATTCACCGCAAGCTTAATTTAATACAAAAGGGTATTAAGATCTTATACAGACGACGGATTTAACACGAATAAAGCATTTCATAAAGTCAGACAATGAGAGATTATGATGAATTAGGGAAAATAGGTACTTACACAGATATATTTACAGAAACTGAAGGGTTAGTTTTTTTTATGGGATAAGTCGGCAAACGAGCAGACGGATTACCTGATGGTAAGCAATCGGCGCCGCCCATGGACTCCCGCAACACCAAAGGAGTTACGAGTGCGTCGCCGGCCTTTTGGGGATAGGGGTTGCGGATATAAGGATTGGGAAGGGATAGGGGAAGGGGAGGGATTGGGCCTCCAGTAACCTCCAGTAAATATATCATCAATGTTTTTAATGCAAACACGTTTATTGAAGTCGTAGCACATGACAGCTCTCCTACGCCGTAGCTACACATTCCTACAAGTATTGACAGAAATGGCTACGAAAACTGCGTAGCGTGGGTGGCGCGTAGTGTAGTGGGCTATGTCTATACGTACCTATGACATGCGTTTTGACTACGAAACGTATGGTTAAAGTGCGTTTGTAGTTTTAAAAACTTTTATTTAACTTGCAATACTTTGGGAAGGGATCAGGGGAAGGGGAGTGATTGAGCCTCCGGATGTTTGTGAGGAATCTTCAAAATGTTTGTTATTTTTAATCGATTAAGTTGAAACTTTGTATTCTCGTCTATTTTTCATGACCGTAAACGTTATGACTTTTATTGTAAATCAAAATATGTCTCTTAAGTTTTTGGTAATCGGCAATTATTGACTAAAATTTATTTATATGAACAGCATGTTTTAAATCTATTCATAAGTTTTATTCATTACAAGCTTGCTTAGTTCTTATTTTAAATAGAAACTAAATGTATGCCAAAATCAAAACAACAAAAATAAGAAAAGCAACTTATTTCGTACCTAATACGTTCAGTAAACCCCATAACTTCTACCAACAATATTTTATTATTTTTTGTTGTGAAGCGGTCGTCTGAACACCAGGTTAAGTTAAAGCAATGTGCAAGTTATCAAAACAGCATGAATTTAATATTATTACGGCCGGCCGGGCAGAGGGCGCGGGCGCTAATCAAGTTATAACTTAGTTGTATTAACTAGTTACTTGTTTCGCTTTATCGCCCTCGTTATTTACAATATGCAAGTGCAGCAGGGCCCAGAACGAGTTAACGAGGTTTTATATGAGCTAGGATATTCGTTGTGGCTTAGGTAATATGCCAAACATATGTATTATGTTTTTTTTGAAGGCGGCAAATTTATAAATGAGTGCTGCAACGCGCCTCTCTAGATAATAATATTATGTGATCACCGCCACCCATGGATGCCCACAACACTAGAGAATTCACCAAGAAGTCGGCGGTGGCGGACTTTTAAAAAGGAGTATGATCGTTTGTTCTATGTTTGAAGGTCGTATCGATTTGGAAATACCAATGCCGAAAGATCATACAACACTTGTTGCTTTTCCGTATTTTTTCTTATTTTCTATTTGTTATATGTCTTCTATTTAACACAGCACGTGCCAACTCCGCCATTTTAATCTTGTCAAACAGCTTGCAAAGTCACGCTCAACC